GTCGAATTTACGAACATGATTTATTCCATGGTCATATGTGGTATCAGAATTTGATTTATCCATCAATGGCAGATGAGATTTATTTCCCTCCTCATGCAGAAGCTGGTAGTTATTTGTGGAAATGGGAAAAGATGAAAGTATTAATCACTACAGCATTGAATATGAGAATTCATTATTTAATGTCGACTTCAGAATAATTTGTCACTCTGGAGATTCAACCAAGTTGTCATCAACCCAAACAATTTTTCACCGTATTCACTAATAAACTTCACTCTCACACTTTTTAAAAGAGAGCTCTGTGCTTGTTCTCGTTTTGGGTGAACAACCCTGATCAGCAACATTCAGCAATTTATTGAAAAAATGGTAATTTATTCTTCATATTGATCTTCCATCTCTTCACCACTACTAGCGCCATGACTCTCCTCAGACGATTCCTCTTCAACCTCACTTTGTGAATCTCCCTTTGAATAAGCCAATAATTTCGATTTCAACTTGGAATCCATCTTTTCAATGGCATATCTCAGACCTTCTCGACTGAAATTAGAATAATTTCGTTTAATAAACATGGTCACAGCATCCAAATCTGCCAAACTCAATTCTCTCAACACCCATCCCGTTCCCAATTGCACAAATCTTTCCTTATTTTGAACTGTGGTGGAGCAAATATCAAAAATAATATCATTAAACTCTCCATGTTTAGCAATTTTGACAAAACTCACGCAGGCACTTCGTTGTTGCCAAATATTTGAAGAATCTTTCCATTGCTGAACAATTGAACCCAATGAAGAATCTCTCTTAATTAATTCACAAATTACTTGAGAACTATAATAAATGATCAATCAACAATATTCATGTCATGATAATTACCTCAATGTATCACAAGTTCCCCAATCATAAATATGTTCATCTTGAAATAATTGTTCATCAAGATCGGTAATGACTTTTAGGCCGTTCAATGCATCTTCTATGGAATCTTGTCCAGTCTTTTTCTTTTTTCGTTTTGGAATAATTTTTGAAACATTTCCAGCTAGTATCTGATGAGGTATATTCCAATATTTCATACCAATAATTTTTTCCAAATTTAGAAATATTTCAATAATATCATCATTAAATGGTTCAAATATTTCAATCATTTCATCATTGCTTCACTCACCTTAATTCCAACATTCTTCTCTTCAAAATATTTACTCTTCATCAATTCATAGGCAACTTTCAACTGATCCGAAACATTTGGAAATTTCGTTTGAAGAGGATCTTTGAGTGATTCCTTCCAACACTTTTCTACCATCGGAGCCTTTAATCCATGAAAATCAATGACCTGTGCATCATGATTCGGTTGAGTAACTAACTCGTTTTCCAATGGTCGTCCTCGGGCAAGTGCACTTACATGTTTAAAGTATTTGGTTTGTTCAGCTGCAGTTTCCTTGTTGGCCACTCGTAATAGAGTGCTTCTCACGAATTTGGTGTAAGTCATGATTTGACTTTGCATGATGATGGAGTGTATGATTGAAGGTTGTTGTGAACAATTTTTGTTTTATTTGAAATTGAGAAATGCTACAAGTTGACAGGTTGCGTGAAAATCAGTTCGAGTGAATGCAAGAACAAAATTTATTCGTCCTTCCCAATCAATTTGATGTGAAAATGATGAAATTTCAATCCCAAGTGAGAGACCTTCCAAGCAACGAAATGGTACCACGTGTGACAAATTTCAAACGCAAAACCAACGATTCATTTATTCTAATCCGCTATGGATATTATTCTGTTTTTGCATAATCTTCTTCCACTTTCGATTGGTGTGATCCATATGGAAATAAATTTGTCTCTTCTCATCATTATCAACCTCTTCATGAATGAGAAGCTTGTCTTCAAAGCCACCCTCTGAGTTTGTGTTGCCTATCAAAAAGTTGAAAATTTTGCTTCGTGTTTCCTCCGATACCCTATTGCAATCTTTCAAAATATTGCCATTGAGATAGGTCTCAACTTTGGCCTTTCTCTCTTCATCACTGACTACAGTTTGAGCAGTCTGAGGAGGATTCTGAGTAGCAGCAGTCGTAGTCGTAGTAGGAGATGGTTGTTGGAAGTTACTCACTGGATAGTTTGGTGGTTGACGCATTTGAGGTTGTCCTGCAGAAGGATTAGCACCAAGTTGAGCACCTCTCATGAGCATGTTCATTGAGGCTGGATCTCCTGGAGCGAATAATACATTTGGAAATGATGAAACGCCAGTTGGTGGTGCAAATGGTGGAGGCAATAAATTATTGGGTGGTCTTGTGTTTGGTGACGAGTTGATACCGAGTAATTGTGTGAAACTAGTCTGATCCCCTTGTGGAGGTTTACCTAGAGCTTGCATATTTCCCATGTTGGGCATTAAAACAGATGGCATTCCGGGTTGATTGGGTTGTGGAGTACCCTGTTGTGCTGTACCAGGTGGAGGTGAAAAGAACGTGTTCGACAACAAGTTTGCATACTGACCGGCAGCAAATGGTGGGAAGCCTCCTGGAGTTCCTGCGCTGGCTGCAAACATTGGATTCAAATAACCAGCCTGATTCAACATGGTACCATACATGGGGTGAGCGTGTTGCATTCCAGCTGCAACATTTGGATCCTGTGAAGGACTCAACATGGAATTCTGATCTGCATTGTCTTGTGTTGCATTGGCAGGATTGTTCTTTCTACGTTTTCGTCCTGTTCCGGCTGCTCCTCCATTGGCAAGAGCTGCTTGTTGAGCAGCCTTCTTTTCCTCCATTTGCTTCCTCTTGAGCTCTTCCTTTTGCTTCTTCTTCTCGAGCTTTTCCTTCTCCTTCTTTTCCTTGAGCTCTTGCTTTTCTTGCTTCTTTCGTTCTTTTTCTTTTAGTTTCTGCTCTTCTGTTAACTGTTTGTTGGAGGTTCGTTTCTTCTCGTTTTGTTGCTGCTCTTTAATTCTCTGTAAGGCAATCGAATCTTCGAGAAAAACAGATCTAGGAGCAGAGTTGGAAGTAGCTGATGGGGGTGAAATGAGTTGAGTCGTGGGAGTATGTGAAGGAGGAGGAGTCTTTAAGAGAGTAGTCTTAGGTGTTGAAGGTAAATTTGAAGAGATTTTCTTGAGTCCAGGGAGTTTGTTCTTATTGAGATTGGCACTGGTTGGAGTTGAGGTAGATCCTGATGAAGATAAGGGAGGTCTAGAAGGAGTGAGCTTTTTGAGAGGTGAAACTTTCACACTGACATTCTTCTTAGAGGACTCGTTCTCTAGCTCGTCCAAATAATTAAGTGGTTCAATGAGATTTTTACAGGCAGATGATCTTAGAGTGAAGTGTTTGTTGGAAGGTTGGTAGTGACGAAGTGAGTATAGATTGCTATTGAGGTTCTTTCCATCCGTGCTGGAGTATTCTTCGAGAAAGTTTCTCTTCTCCTCCAATTCTTTCATGGCTCTATCGATACTCTCTGGATGAACATTCAAGTACTTGGAGACTGTTGGTTTGAGTGAAGTGGCAGGAGAGTAGGAAAGCTTTTGTAATGACAATGACGAATTCTCATCATCTTGCTTCATAGCAAGGGCCTGAAAGTGTTTGATAGCTTGTTGAAAGTATCGTTGCGGAGAGTCATTTTCATGCGCTTCATATTCATCACTCATCTCGAGCTCGTGTAGTATGCTTTTCTGAATATCGGTCCTAATGCATGAATGTTCAGGGAATAGATAGAGTATTTCTGCCATCATTCTGACCCAGTCATCTTCTCCACGCTTATTTTCGATAATATTCTATACGGAAGGGAATGAAACCAAGAGGAGGTTCAATAGAGTGCAACATTGAAGGGTATTGTTTCACACATGCATTTGTTGTTGTTGCCACAGAATAAATGTTGAGTTACAACAATCATTGTAAGCGAAGGTCCCAAAGAAAAGTGAAAGTGGCAAGTGAACAAAAAACCAACCAAATTATTAACAAAAAAAATCGAGTCATCCAGAATGCAGCAGCAGGGATGAAATATAATAACAGGTGGTTGTTGTGAAAATTGGAGAAGCGAGTTTGGACCATTGCAGACGTTACGAACAAAACATCAACACGAACAACACGGTTGTGTCAAAAAACTCGCAACAACAACATACAACATACCTTAAATAATGTACAAAAGTAAGAGGCAAGGGTTGGAGTCATTTGCTTCTTCTTGATGGAGAGGCAGCACATGATGAAGCGAAGTTTGATCAGTTGCGAGTTGGAAACACCCAAGTTATAAAAGTTGTCATAGTTATGGTGAGAGTGGTCATCAATGAAGAGTTCGAGAGTCTCCTCATTAATTTGAGAGACAATTCGTTCCGAACTCCAATCACTATTCAGTTTCGAGCAAAGCCATAGCTCGACTTCATGGAGGTCTTTCTTTGGCTTGCCTGAATGGTGATGAGAACTGGCTCCACCACTACTGCTCGTCGACGAGTGTACGTGTTGGTGGTAAACGGATTGTGAACCTTCTACAACAGGCTCATAACTCACATCGTGGTAGGCCGATTGATGATGATCATTATGAAGATACTCTTGATACATGCCGTTATTATTGTGATGGTCTTCTCGCAAGTGATCATCGTGTTCCTCAGGTGGATGCGGATCATCATGTACATCCATCATGTTGTGCTGAGAGGAAGAAGATGTTTGAAAGCCCTCACCATGATGATATTTTGTTTCTTCTTGATGATGCAGGTGATCATCAGAAGGTGGCTGATGGTGAGAGGGAGCAAACGAGGTGTGCATTTTTGTTTTAACGAATTAAAAAAAATAAAAAAATATCCTTTTGTAAGCTTGTGCGTGAGGCCAAATTAACGGTTTTTTTGTACCACGTGGAGCAGTCGTCTGTGTGTTTCGGCTCTCTTCAATTCTCTTCATCATCATCAAAAGGATGTGTTGAAAGAGAATCTAGTGATCTCACCATATTTCTTCAGGTTCAATTAATTTGAAGCAGCTATCCCGTGCATCGTCTTCCTATATCCATCACCAATTATTATTATTATTGAAAATTCCAACTTGAAAACCATCCCGTGATGATGAATCATTCACCTACCACTCCACTAGAATTGATTTTCAGTCAAGACTTTTTCATCCATGCTTTAGACGCATCCAGCACCAGCAACCACCATCTTCCCAACGAATCAACCACTACTCAGCAACAACACATTCCTCAACTCCAAGACTCTATCCGAGCCAGAGAAATCAAACTTCTTCCCAACAATGATTCAACACCAACTTTATCTTACCAACGATTACCCACCACCAACTACCTTCAACACAATCCTCTCATCACAGGTCGATATTTCAACACGCCAAATGATATTAATCCATCATCTCAGATCTCAGCTCCTCACAGAGATGTACCTTCAGTACCATTACCTCCTCTCGCCTCCAAGAATCATTCTCTTCCTCCTCATCAACATCAATCCTTCACTCCTGAACTATCTAACACTATTGTCGATTCGAGTCGGAATGATGAGGGTTTACTTCTTCCCAAATGTTTCATATTGACTCACAAGCTCAATCCTTTGAGTGTGGATGAATATATCGAAACGATGAATACAGTCATGAGAAAAGTTCGTGAGCTACAACTGGATCAGCATGAAAAGTTGAAACATCACATTCCTCATGTGCATTTGATGAATGGGTTTTCGGTTGAGGGAATTCTTGCAATTTTGAATGATTCTGGCGTGTCACATGACATGGTCAACACTACAAAAAAGAACAAGCCCGTTTTCATTCCATTCGAAAGTTATCGAATGCAATTATATGAAGATATTTTTGGACGAGTGTTGAAAGAAGGTACTAATCAAGCTCGTGTTGAGGAGTGGTTTGCAAATATTATTCTCTCAAAAATTAGTGAAGGCCTTGGTAGTGGAATGACTCTGAATGACAGTAATGGAAACAATAGTCATCGTGTGGTTGATGAGACAAATCATTCTGAGGAAGAGGGCAACAATAATGCAATTTCCAGCAATATGAAATTTCACTTTTTCACATTTATTCAAACTTATGGATATTGGGCCATACCACTAAGTGATCAATCGAGTGCATTTGATGTCGAGAACTCTCCATTAAGAAGATTAAATCAAATTCTGGGATTTAGGCGCTCTAAAATGTAAATGAAACTTTAGATTTTAATCGATCTGATAATTTTGTCGAGAAATAATATTTCACACGAATGGCCAACTTTGGAAGCTAGAAAGACCTTCAAAGATCTGTTGAATTCTCTTAATAATTTTGGACGGGACGCCTGCCAGGAATATGGCGACAATCCCGCTACAGTCTTTGACTGTATGAACTGTGAGCGACAAAAGCGGAAGCCTTTGTTGTGTTCTTTAACAGAAGAATTTGTTGAAGAAACAAGTGTAGGAGAGGCGTGTTGTATTTATTGTCGCTGGATGGCATGAACTTGAGCATTTAAAATGTGGTTCAGCAAAATAAACAACGACAGGTTCAATACGGAAATAAACATTCCTTCTGCAACGTTCAACAAAATTCAATTGAAAATATTCGAGAGCAACTTGTGCAGATCAAGAGTTGTTTTATAAATTTTTAAACCTGTACTTTGGTTGGTTCTTTGCTGAGGGTTTGGGTGGAGGTTGAGATGGCTCACCAAACTCTTGCTCAACCAAATCTTCTAAACTTTCCCATTCTTCAGTAGTTAAAATGTCAATATCTGAGTTTTGATTGTGTTCAACCGCACTAACATTACTGCTGCCAACTTGATCAGTGATATCTTCCAAATCGTCCAAATTCAAATCTAACTCATCATCATTCTTGTCATCTTCAATTTGTTGTTGAGGTGTTTTCGAAGCTGCTGTTCGAATATTCAACTTGGTCGAAGTTTTGTACTTTTCACTAAATTCTTTTCTTTCAGCATCTGTAAGTGGTTGGCAATCTCCCATTTCTTTCGATCTCATGGATCGAATCAATTCCAAGAAAATTAGACCATAATTTGCCATAACATTTTTACCCATTCCGCTGATTGCTGACATGGACTCAATATCAAGAGGTTGTTGGGAGATCAACTCTTGTAAAGTTTTTGAAGCCAAAATGTTGTAAGGACGAAGACCTTTCTGCTTCGCCAATTCTGATCTCTTATCTTGAAGGGCAGTGCTCAACATGGATTCAAACTCCTTCTTCTTCTTTGTATTGGAATTAATTGTGGTAGAGGATGCAGATCCCTTTGTCAACATCTTTTCAAGAGAACCTTTGGTCTTTTTGGATTTGCTTCTCACGAGAAGTTCAAACTTGTCTCGTCCCTGAATGATTCTTTCGGCTGACGATGAAACACCGAGTTGACTGTAACTACCACCATACTGTTCATTTACATGAACTTTTTCAAGTAAATATCCATCACAAATGAGTTTCGATACTAGAATTTCAGCAACATTCTTGTTGAGATCTTTTCCTGCTCCATGTCCGTCCAATTTATCATGCTGTAAGCTCTTAATTTTAGATGCCTTAGAACCTCGCCAAACTCCAACAATGTGCGACATGGTCGATTTGAAATTTCCAATATCTTTGACCAATTTGAGGAAAGATGATGCTTCTTTGGTGTAGTCCTTCTTTTCGACTGGAGCTTCATTTTTGCAATTGTCACACATTCCTTTGCATTGAGCTGGATCAAAAGATTCTCCAAAGTGTCTCAACTGTACAACTCTTCGACATTCACAATCATTCTCACAATAGGAAACAATCTTGTTAATGTTTTCATAGCCATTCTTGCTAGCCTTTTCATTATCCAAAAATTTTTGCTGACGAGCTTTATCAGCATATGAATAGAACAAGATACAGTGGCTTTCGAGACCGTCTCTGCCAGCTCTTCCTGATTCTTGATAATAATCTTCGATGGATTTGGGCAAGCTGTGGTGAATGACAAAACGTACATCCGGCTTGTTAATTCCCATACCAAAAGCAATGGTAGCTACAATAATTTTCAACTCGTCACGACTCCATTTTTCATGAACATCTTGCTTATCAGCTGCCGCTACGTCTGAGTTGTACACTCCAACATTGTGACCGAGAGAGGTGAGCTCTTCAGCCATCTTTTCACAATCCTTCTTACTCAAACAATACACAATTCCAGATTGATTGGGATACTTGTCATTGATAAAATCCGAAATTTCCTTTGCAGTTTTTTCCAAAGAAGCCTTTTTTCTCACTTCGTAATATAAATTAGTTCTGTTGAAGGAGCCCTTCAAACTGACACAATTCTTAATATTGAGTTGATGAATAATGTCTTGTTGAACACGTGAAGTGGCGGTGGCAGTAAGAGCAATAAGTGGAACATCGGGAAATTCGTCCTTGAATACGCCTAACTTTCGATAGTCAGGTCTAAAATCGTGTCCCCAATTACTCACACAGTGAGCCTCATCGACAACAACTCTCTTGAAAAGTCCACGATCATAGAGCTTTCGTAAAATGTTTACAAATGATGCGCTTGCAGAGATTTTCTCAGGTGTTACATAGAGAAGACGGAAGCTTGGATTTGATGAGGCCAATTCTCTGTAAATTTGTTTGGTTGTTTCAGAGTCTTGTTCACCCGTAAGGAAAACAGCTGGAATGTCCAAGTTGATGAGAGACATGACTTGATCTTGAATAAGGGAGAGCAGTGGAGAAATGACAATGGTCACACCTACAGAACCAATAATTGCTGGAAGTTGGTAACACAAACTTTTACCTCCACCAGTTGGCATGATAATGAAAACATCTCTTCCTGAAAGTGTAGCATTGATTGCTTCCAATTGTAAATTTCTGAATGAATTGATACCAAACACTTCTTTAAGGGTACTCTTGAGCTCTCTGCTCCATTCGAAATTTTCATTGGCATAATAGGAATTGTCGTGAGAAGTAGAGGCATGTTCAGATTGTGTTTGGGATCGCATTCGACTGCTACTGCTCGAGCTGCTATATGAATATGAGCTGCTACTATTATTGTATCTTGAAGAATAGTTGTCATTATTGTTATTATCGAATGGAATAACTGCACCAAATCCGTCATCTTCATCAACATTGACAGCATAGTTATTGGATGAGCTTGTTGTGGGAAATGCTGAGCTCTTTTGACTGCCTGTGAAAACAACATCTTCATCATCATCAACTCTAATGCTTGTGGGCGACGAATCAAAGTTGGAATAGTGAGAATAGTCGTCATCTTGCATGTCATCATTGTTGTTATTGAACTCATAGGTGTGATTATTACTTCTCGCATAACTGTTAATGGCGGAAGAAACAGTGACATTCTTACTTGAAGAGCTGTAATTGTTTGTTGGAATGGTCGAGGAAGAGAAGGTTGTTTGTGGCCTACTACTGCCGTAAGCAGAAGAAATAGAGGGAGATGGTGTTGTCACAGTGCGAGACGATGAGAAGGCAGGAGTTGAGGGCGTTGCAAAACCATTGTTGGTGGTGCTTGTAGTTGATGACGAGGAAATATTTGACATTGAATCTGAAAGATTTTGCCTCAACGCTTCGAGTTGAGCTTTTTGTGACATGAAATCTATCAAGGTTTCGCTATTCGGGTCAAGACTATCAGCATAATCCAAACAGTCTGTCAATAGGGCAACAAGCTCTCGCGACAATTTGTCATAACTTTCCAGTAACTCAGCTTCAGATTTTGAGTTTTGAACTGTCGAAGAGGAGGAAGATTTAGCAGGAAATTTGGGTGTTTGTGGAGCCACTTTTGTTGAGGCTTTTGGTAAAATGCTCTTTGAGACCTGTATGTTGGTTGTTGTTGTTTGTGGCTCTGACGAGGATGAGCTACTGGTTTTTGAAGGTAAGGTAAATTTCTTTGTGGGTGGAGGTTGAAATTTTGGTGTCGAAGAGGTCTTGTTAATTACACTAGTACTCGAGCCATTTGCAATGCTAGTCTTATTGATTGAGGTAGATGAATGCTGTAATGTGGAGTCATCATTGAGATTATTACGTTGATACTCTTCTTCTTCATCCAAAATTAAATCAACACCAAGAACGTCTTCGTCAAGAATAGGATCATGGTCAAAACCTGTTTTGCTATTCGATGACTGTGCTGTAGGTTCAGAATTGTTTTTGGAGTTGAAATCTGGAGGTGTTAAAATTGGTTCATCCTCATCAAGAATATCATCAGTAATGACGATTTCATCAATTGACTGTTGTTTTGTGCCATTTGTGGATGAAAATGACATTAACTCGTCCAGCTCTGCATTTTCTTCGTCTTTGTCTTTCCACAATTTTCTTGATTTGTTGCTATTTGTGGCAGTAGTGGTGATATTATTACTTTTGACAGTCAAATTGCTCGTGATACTGCCATTTTCTTTTGGTTTAATTCGTACACTGGGTCGTACGAACGATGATGAGGTGTTATTGGAATTCAAAGCAGTATTGGACGACTTGCTATTCAGCAGAGTAGAGGCAGTGATAAATGACGAAGGCTTTTCTTCAGTCGGAGATTCGTGATGATCCTCTTCATGGAAATCGTCAAATTTTCGTTTCTTTATGGCCATGGAAGGAGCATTGTGATTTTGTTGTCTGTTGTTGGTATTGTTGTTGTTGTTGTTATTATTATTTAAAATTGATCCATAGGCTGATAATATTTCCGAAGGGGTATCACTAGAAGTGGTGGTTTGTGCTGAAGGATTCGATCGGGTTGTTATTGCTGTTCCGAAGGTCTTATTTACATTGGTTCTAGTTGATTTTGTGGGAAGTGCTTGATTCTGACTGACGGAGGCTGTTGATTTACTTTTAAATGTAAAGCTATTGGAAACAGCTGTGGAAGAAGTTGTGGCACTCGAGTTGTTATTAGTACTGTTATTGGATGATGAAGAACTTTTGGCCTTCAGCTCGGAAAGATATTTGTCGAGATTGTTGTTCATATTCAATGAATTGCTATTCCTATATGGATGTTTGTTATTGTTCGGGATAATATGGCTTGCAAAGCCTTGCTTGTTATTGATGAAAATGCAGCCAAAGCCTTTGGGATAGCAATCAAGATAACGTATTTTTTTTTGAAGTGTAACGGCGGGTTCCAATTATTGTTGGAATGTTGCGTTTGTGAAGCAATTTGAAATTGGGAACGAATACAAAGCATTGGTCAATAAAAATTTATTCGACGATATTTGAAGTTAGTGAAAATTGTGAGAAATACAATTTGAAACTCTCCAAAAATTAGTTCTGACTATTGTTGGCATTCTTCAATTGAGCAATTTCCTTCTCCAAGACCTCCATTCTCTTCTTCAATTGTTCCATTTCACGTTCTCTGCTGGCAATTGGATCACCTTCCATGAATTGACGTTGAATCATCCAATCATCATTCAAGAACTTGCTCAAATAGTTACGAATAGAGTCTGGCAACAAGACAACTACTCTCTTATCAGGACCTAATCCAAGCTTTTTAGCAGCTTCAACAGCAGCATACATGGCAGTGCCTGATGAACCTCCGCACAAGAGACCTTCTTCTCTAATTAATTCTCGAGCCATTGTGAATGATGGTTTATCTTCAGTCTTGACCCACATGTCAATCAAACTTCTATCCAAAACATCAGGAACAAAATCGTATCCAATACCTTCGACTTGGTAAGTTCCAACCTTATCATGTTCTGGATCGGCCAACAATGAACCAACTGGATCAGCACCCACAACAATAATACCTGGAATTTTTTCCTTAAGCTTCTTTGCAACACCACTGGCAGTACCACCAGTTCCTACACCCATGACAATCACATCAATTTTACCACCAGTTTGTCTAATAATTTCCTCGGCAGTACCTTCATAGTGAGCCAATGGATTGTCTTGATTCTTGTATTGATCCAAAATGTGTGCAGTGTCACCAATTTCTTGCTTCAAACGAGCTGCAACACCAATATGCGACTCTGGTGAGTTCCAATCAGCCTCAGTTGGGGTTCTAATAATTTCTGCACCTAAACCTTTCAAAACAGAGACCTTTTCTTGGGACATTTTCTCTGGCAATGTGATAATCATCTTGTATCCTTTCACAGCTGCAGTCAATGCGAGACCAATACCAGTATTACCTGATGTTGGTTCAATGAGAGTGTCACCTGGCTTGATACGACCACTCTTTTCAGCCTCCAAAAGCATTCGCTTGCCAATTCTGTCTTTAACAGAACCGCCAGCATTGAAAAACTCACACTTGACCAAAACTTCACATTCCAAACCATGGTTCTTTGGAACGCGATTCAAACGAACCATAGGAGTGTTTCCAATGGCGTCGAGAACAGTGTCGAAAATTTGACTATTGTTCATGAACGACAATGAGAGGGTTGAATAGCGAAAGAAATGTTCGCGGTTGGAATGTATCATGAGCCATGAGAGGTGCAAAATTTTCATGAACATTTCATTGCAAGGAATGTGCAACGACAGAGTTGAAGATGGAACCAGAGTATAAAATCATCAACAACAATTCAACGCATTGGGGGGCATGGAACAACCATATGAACAATATTTGAAAATATTCAAAACGTTCATCATGAAATAAATTCATTATTCAAAAAATGTTGAAAAAGAACCCGTTCAGTCTCGGATCACTCTCCACATTTACAAAATCAAAAACAACATACTCTTTAGAAGCGGACATGATGAAGAAGCAATAATAATAATTAAAATGAATACGGAGAGAGAAACCGAGAGGGAATAAGCGAGAAAAAAATGCCTATTTTTTTCTAAAAAAAATTGTAAACTGGAGTCCGGTTGGTCTTTTTTGGCGACGTTTCTGCACCATCACTGTGTTTTGAACGCACGCGTTGAAGAGAATATTCCAACCATATTATTCAGAAACAGCACATGACACTACAACTTACCACGGTCGCTTGGGCCAGCTCGCGGCCAAGAAAATGATGATTTGGCTCACAGCAAATTACAACAAAAAAAAATATAAAATGTCTCTGGTGCCGCATTTTTGTGTGGCCCTTTTTCATCATCGAAACAAAACAACACACGTAGGTTTGACAAGACAATCAACATTGAACTCTTGACGTAAACATCAATATACGTATCAATTTTATGTTAGAAGATTACAGCACACAATAACGTAAGTTTTACAATAGCAACATTTTGGCTGAATCATTATGACGATTCTAATCAAACAACTCCAATCTACAGCAACAACCAATATGTACGAGATTGTCATAGATGAAGGCGATGCAATGATGTTCGATGCTCCAAACAACAACAACAACAACAATGAAGCCGATCCCATCACAACACAAATCCAACAACAACGCAGAGAAGAAACTAGCTCTTACGATTTCAAAGATATCATCATTGAGCATGGTTTACCACGAATTGAACCTCTGAACTACAGTTACTTTGACCTTTGTGAAGAAGAACAAGATTACGTCGCAAGATCTTTCCAACTTTTTGCCAAGTGTGCCCGAGTCAAGATTAACAGAATGCTGAAGTTGGGAGGTATTCATCGAAGAACCTCCATTAGTTGTGGCTGTATTGAAACAGAAACCTTTCAACTGATGTTTCAAAATATGAAGGGAGCAACGTTTTTCCACTCTGACAGAATGATCTATAGGCATGGAATTAAGTACAAAGTTCCCTGTGTTGGATATCGTTTTAAAGATACCTTACCAGTTCTGGATTTATTTGAGAATTGGGGAAGACAAGTTGTCAAGAGTTGCATTTCACAGGAAGACAATTCTGTGGTCACAACTGAATACCTATTGCAAGTTAAGAATATTTCTTTTATACTTGAAACAGAGTCAAGTGAAGTGTTCATGCATATGTCATACGATACCAAGATCAAATACGACGATGATGATGAATTTACTTTCTTCTAAAATTGAAATAAATTATTAATTTTATTAAAAACAAAAATGTCTCAATTTTATCCCTACCAAACAAATTCTCAATATTCACAACCTGAGCTACCAATCAACAGTAATCAATCCTTGTACTGGCCAACATATCAACTCATTCCGAACTTTCAATCTCCACAATACGAGTTGTCTCAAATTAACACCAATCAATCCTATGATTGGCCCAATTCACAACAACAATTGTCGCAAGATTACATTGATCAACCCATATTCTGGCCTTCATACTCATGGCCTTCGACATTCATTCCTACACCATCACCATTATTGTTGACCAACAACATTACAACATCCGAATCTCAAAGACAACAATCACCAACAATCACCAACAATCATGCATCATCATCATCATTAAACGAATCAGTGAGCGAACCAGTTTCAAATTTTCCAACACATTCTTCTTCATCAAAGGAGTTCAAATGGAAGCAACGATTAATAAATCAGTACAATTCTTCTCCCCCAATAACGTCTATTGTTGGGAAAGTTTGTTCCAACGACCGAATATGCTTAGAAGAGACCTCTTCTCAGCTAAAAGCAAGATATTTCCTTGATGTCAAACAACATCTTGGCTTAACTCATATCACTGATGATATTGTTACCAATTCTTTCAATTACAAATGCACTGACTATTTTGGTGATGCAAATTATGGAACCAAGACGAAGCGAAAAGAAAAGCTGCTACAACGATTAGGAGGTCACGATATTATTTGCAAAATGGATCAATTTAAAGATATTTATGAATTTCTTGGGATGTTACGGAGGGAAGGATTGCTGAACGAAGATCGTATGAAAGAGGAAGGTTTGTTGGATAGTATGGATTATAGTATGTCAAAACAACAAGAATCATGCAACGAACAAACCTTCTTCTCAAAAGAAAGTAATACGATGTCTCAAATTAAGAACCACCAAACAGAGAACCATAAAAAGCGTAACAGAAATGACAACGATAACCAAAACAAGAAAAAAACTAGTGCAAGACATTTCAAATTGAAAGAAAACACTTTAAAGCAAGTTCTTATTAAAAACCGAAAAGTGATTTCTAATAAGGCCGTGGACGAACTTCGAACAGAAGGACATGTCAAAAATTTAACACCCTCACCTACCTTATTGCATGCACAATCAACGACAGACTTAATCTGCACTGACATATTTAATGTAAAGGTTAAAGAATTAGATGGAGATCGAAAAATCATTTATCACTCAATTCTCCCCACTGTATGTTGTTATGTGTTGCAGCACAAGAAGTGGATTGGTTTTATGAAGAAAAAGCAGATACAACTTTGTAAAGAGGATCAAATTGATAACAAGGATTTAATTGTTGCATTGAACCTTGATTATGCTGCCAATTCAAAACTGACTACTTTGACCATTACTGTGATCAATAGCAAATGCTTCGGAACAGGTCAATCTCGAGCTATATGCGTTCCACTTGCAATTTGGTCTGGAGATGAGAGTGAATTCATTCATGTGGCAGATCATTTCCGAAAGGAAATTGAGATTATTCGGAAGCACGGAATAACAATCGAATCGAATCATTGCTCCATTGATGTGTTTTTAACGATGGATTTGAAAGCGTTAGGTGTGGTCTGTCCTGGAGTGAAACAAGGATCGTGGTGCCCATACTGCGACACATGTAGTCCAATATGTTGCAAAAACCACAAACCCAGAACACAGGATTCATTGGGCTGTATTCTTGGACTACCTGCATGCAATATTATTATTTGCGTCCTTCATGCAAAGGAACGACTGTGTGAAAATGTTTTGAGAATAACATTGAGTGGTGTTAAGGAGAAAGACAAGTTTTGGGATGCTGTTATTAAAATCAAGGGACTTGAAGGCTTACAGAAAGTTGAAGACGAAGAATGGAATGATGTTCGTATGTTTCTTCATGGAAACACATGCAACATTCTTCTGAACAATGTTGGAGTGATGTCTCCGTTTTTCGAGAAGGAACAAACACAAATGTTGTGGGACGCATTGAAATGCTTGTTGAATAATATTGACAAGAATGCATCGGATCAAGTCATTTCGGAATCATTATCGTTGTTTTGGAATATTTATGTTGCTGCTGCTCAAGGATTCCAAGGTAAATGTTGGTATGCTCATATCTTAGCGAAACATTTTTTAGCTCTCAAGCGAAGAGTCAGAAATGTAAAGCAATTTGAAACTCAAGCATTCGAAAGCAATCATCTTGAAGAGAAGGAATCAATAGAAGGAGCATCAAGCAAAGGTGGTGGCACTCCCTATTCCTATTATGATTATATTTTGTCCAATACTAGAGACTATCTTGAGCATTTTTCATCAAACGGAATCAAAGTTCGGTCAGCTCTCGGAGACAATGTTGATGATAACAAGGATTTATTGATGGAGACATTTTGTAAGAAACCAATACCTACCGGTGTTCGTTCTACCATTAAACTTGGCCAAAAAGGAAAGCTATTGGCTCAGGTTTTGTTCCGAAAGTTGAGAATACTTTTTCTTTCCACTGTTCTTCCAAACACGTTCATGCTTTGCCAGCCAAAGAGATTCAAGGAAAAGAGAAAGCAGGAAATTGCTTCCGATTACACTGTGAAGGTGAACGATGATGAATCTATTCTTCAACAACTTTGTTATCGAGAGGAAGACACAACTGTATTTGAAAATCATAGCTGTTCGGACCAATGTGTGACCGTACCTAAAGACTACCAACACTACACCATTTCAACCTTGAATCGGGTTGCCTGAAGGAAGTAATTTGAATCAATATTTGGAAGACGAAACAGCGAGAACAGAAGGCATGTTGATACCTGTTGCAAAGGCCAAGAGAGTTGAACCTGCACATGCTCTGGCTCGACGAAGAAAGCAAAGAAATAAATGAAGAACGATGTGTGGGATCGAAAAATTGGTCGTGTGCTGTTGTTCACAGAAAAAATAAGCTCTCAAATTTTTTTCGATCCGGCAGTGTTTTCTGATTGGTTGGAGAGCGTAGCCATCATTTTCTTTGGCGTAAGTTGTAGTGTCAATGGAATTGGTATTCTCATTTGTATTCTCATTTGTATTCGTCCCAAACAACCACTCCGAGGAACACTTCTCAGGTTGAACATGATCAATTTTTTGCAAGATTAATAATGAATGATGATCTTTTTTGATGATCCACCAGTTGAGAATACCTTGATTCATCCTTAGATACTTCACAGTTTTGGTACATTACAAGTCAACTAGTTGCAGTTGAATTGGTGATTGAGAGAGGGATTTACTTCTTTCATTAAACTCAGAGCTGATGAGGAATTAAGAGGAAAATCCAACATCCTCTGACGACCCATCTCTATGAGAACCATTAGAATATTTATCACAGAAAAAAAGATAAGGCTTTTCTTCAGTAGTGAGGTTCCGATCCATGAAACATTCCTCATCATCATGGGGGCCAATGAACATATTTTCATGATTCACTAGAAGAAATGAGTGAATTGAGAAGCGAGCGAATCACAGAATACAAACAAACGTCTTGCAGCGATCATGGACAAACCCTTAGATCCATTATGGAATGTCATGTAATGGACAATCGCTTGTCGTGGTTGTTACCAAGGTTTCAACGAACCTTACTTGACAATAATTGTAAATTCCATCTAGCAAGGAAGGATCATCACAACCTCTATTCAAACTCAACCAACAACTGGACTCTTCGACGTTATCTTGCGTAATATATGAAAAGCTCCTCTCTCATTCTCCTTTTTTAGAAAATTAACAAATTTCTTGACCAGTTTCGTTTGAACTTGTTAGGTTTGAGAATAGGCCAAGCATTTCAAAATTTCGACACTTTTTCTCCAATTGTATACTACCAACAGACCATCAAGCTCTTTTCAGCAAATAACCAATTTAAGAATTTACAAAGAAAACTTTTCATACATTCTCAAAGAGTGAAAATTCCTGATTTATTCATACCAACATATTTGCACGAACACTATACTGCATGAAAACAACGCATCACTGACGTCGACTATTGGGAAGTGACCAAATTTGTAGAGAAATCAATGATAACACTCCACTCTCGACCATTCTCTGTGTGTGTTAAACTCTGGTCGTCAACCATGACTGTTCCTCACACAGCGTGCTCTCTGTTGCAACAACAACAGCAGCAATCCGTTAAAACTCCAAAATCAACTCAAAAAAAACAAACCACTAAGAAGAAGTGATCATTAACCACTCTCGACAATTGCTACTACTTCTCATACCACTACTCATTGAAAATGATGAACACACAAACCTATCCAACCGAAACTGCTGCTTCAGGTGCCGGTGGTCTCAAATACGACAATCGTTATTATGAACGTGAAGAGGCACATCATGCACGTGACCGTTTCTGGACAGGATTCTTTCTCTCGTTGATTCTATTTTTCACATTGAATCCATTGGCTTGTTTACCTTACATGTTGGGATGGCGTTACAGAAAAAGTGATGTCCCACGTGCTAGAAAATGGGGTCGTTTGAGTTGGCTCATGTTTTGGGCCACATTGGCTGCTGTCACTTGTCTATGGTTGTGTGCCATTATTGTTATTCCAATTGCTGTGGGAACAACGGTTGGTAGAAGAGATGCTGAAGCTGCAGCTGCCGCTGCTCGTCAACAACAACAAACACCTCCTTAAATGTGAATGTGGTGAAGTCATTACTAACCATCATGCTGAAGAGAGTCAAGGTGTTTGTTGGTCATGTGTTTTGTGAAACCAATAAATACTATTGTGTATAATAATAATAGTGAAAGTGACGTCGAGAGAACACAGCTGTTAAAACAACTTGCCCATTCCATTCATCAATAAAAACATTTATTCCTCAACATTTATATTAAATGGCATCCTTAATGGAGTGGAAAGATGATTCGAAATGCATTATTGCTTTTTCATGGACAATTTCCTCATAAATTCTTTCAACACATTTCCATGTTGTTGGCGTGGATTCAACATCGAGGCAGCTTTGTGCTGACTCGTTGATTTCGATGACGATTGACTCGAAGAGGATAGACTATCACTCAATGAGGAAGAGGAAACTGAATGTGCCGTCAATGAAGAATTCGTGGAACTCAACGTCAAACTACTACTGCTACTACTACTTCTACTACTACTTCTACTACTACTCATTGATTTTGGATGAACATGTTCATCAGACAACTGACTCGATATAAACAGAGCTGACAAAATTCCCTTCTTGTGTTTGGGTGTTGTGATGACATTGGCATGAGTTGTAATTCCATGAATCGATTCCATTGTTCTCGCTGCAACATACTTGCACTCGAAACATTTCAACAAATCCAAAGCATTCAACCATCTCTTGTCACATTCCAAATTTGAGGAAATTTCAAATTCAATATACTCAATCGCTGATTTTCCTTGAAAATCCTTTTCATGAAAGAGTTTGTCACATTCAGGAGGGTTCATCAACGACATTGACTTTTGACAATTTCTAAACGACAAGGTAAAATCTTCCAACCATGTCAAAATAAAACAAAAACTCTCCAACCACGATTGATAATCCTCTCGATTAAATTTGTTCATTCGTTTCATTGCAAATTCCAACGACAAGTGTAACACATTCTTTCCTTGTCGATCTTTTGAAAATATGAGCGAGTCCAACAATTTTCGATGATTTTCACGCGATCGTTCGTAATGTCTCGAAGAAACATTCACCAAATATTGTAATGTGAAATAATTGAGAATGGTCTTGATGGCTAAAACGTCACCGAATGCAACTGCTTCGGTAAAGAAATTTCTTCCATGTTGATTTTTCATTACAAGTGCCTTTTCGAATGCTTCTCGTCCAAATAATTCATTTCCATTTTCGAGTAATTGTTGAATGAATTGACATCGAATTTCTTTGGGTGCACTCTTATTGACCAACGTTCGAATGGGAGAACACGACGCTTGTTTGTGATATTCTGCTAATGAAGTGGCTGATTTGGCTTGTGCCACTCGATAATCTTTTAAACATGCAAAGAGTGCATTTTCATCTTTTTGATTCTTTTTAAGAATGGATTTGGGACAATGACGACTCAAATACTCGACTCGAGAGAAATCTAAATCTCGTACACTTGTGTGAAGAAGACTCTCTCCAAAAGATCCATGATTGGCATCTAGAGAAGCTCCAAATAATTGCAATAAATCACACATTTTCCAATCTCGTTTTTTAAAGGCCATGGCAATGGGAAGATTTCCAAATCGATCTGCTTTGTGAATGGATATCGAGTCGTACTGAGCGGAGTGTGAAATATTTGACGACGACGACGACGACGAAGAAGAACACGTTCGTTCCATTAAGGTCTGAAGTTGAACCAATAAAAATACACAACAATCGTGAGCATTGCATGTGGAACAACCTTGACAGGAGTAAAATAATGGAGTGCATTCGTTCGAGTCGATACAAGTCCATAATGCCACACGTCGAGAGAGACATGAAGAGGAATGTTGGATATGAGAAGGTTGACAAGATCTGTCACTTGTCTCTGGGAGAGGAGATTGAGGAGAGCAGCAACAACAGGATGTTTCTGAATGTTGACAAGCTTTCTTTTCACACTTTTCATCGCAACAACATGATTTTAAAAATTCCAAAATATCTAATCGGTTATGTCGAGCTGCTAAATGAACGAGTAACGTTCTCGTTCCAGCCAATTTCGAATGTACTAATTCGTCTAATTTCAATTCTGACAAGACAAAGGTGACAATTTGTGGACCAATCGAAGCAGATTCTTGACAGTTCGATTGGTGAATTTTGAGAGCTTGTTCCAATTTCTTTTGTTTTCTTTGAATGGCATTGGACAATCGATTCAAATACAATGCTTCTAAAAAGTGTTCATTTTCATTATTCGATGTCACTTGCAACAGGGATGACGCCGTATTTGGAGAATTAGATATAAAATTGGTGCGAGGACTATTTAAAAGTGGTGAAGAGGAAATGAGTGGAGAAGAACCTAAACATGAAGGAGCTGAGAGAATTGGAGAATAATCTTCGTAGGCGATCGAGTTTGAAGAAGAAGAAACAGTCGTGGCTGGTGTTTGATTAGTGACAGCTGGTGAGGTCGAGGGGTCTTCTTCTTTGAGGGTTTGATGAATGTGGAAAATTTCAAATTTCCACCAATCTTCAACCTCATGAGATTCATCTTCTTGTGTATATTCCTCATGCTCATGATTGTTTTCATTAATTCTATTGTTATTTACATTTGGACACTCATTTGAAGGATGTAATTGTTGACCTTCTGGAAAGGAGGATGGTCGAGTTTGAAACAAACTTTGGCAGCATTGACATGAATTCTTTGAATCAATTCCAGTAAAATCATCTTCGAGAAGTTGTTGACGTAAATCTACCTCTTCATCCATCGAAGAGACAAGTGACAGCGATGATGCTTCTGAAGGAGCCGAACAAACACTCGAACCTGTCAAACACGACGAAACCGATAACAATCCTCCAATAGATGTCAATACCTGTCCATGATGATGATTGGGCAATGACGTCGAACCAGTGGTATACGCACTGGCAACTGACAGCAGCGAAGACGAAGAAGTCGGTTTCGAAAGAATTGTTTTTGTAAACATCATCGAAGACGGCGAATTGGGAGATGAAGACAAGTGTGATTGTTCATTGTAACTCGCCATCGTCCAATTCTAATTCTTATTCGCGAATTGTTGTTGTTTGAAATTTTGTTTCTTGAAATTTGTAAAACAAAACAAAACGCGCTTTGTATTTCCAAATGATGAATGAAATAAATTCACTAATGATGCTCGGGTAACGAATGAATACTTTCAAATATCAACAAATTGTTGCCGTTCAATAATAATTCGTTGTTGTTGATGTTTCAGTGAATTCAAATAAAACGTAAAATTTTCAACGACGACTATTAGAGTTTCATAGAAGCGCAGAAAGAAGGAATCAATGATACTATTACTATGATTACTATTTGTTTTTGAGTACCTGTTGATGAGGAGAGAGAAAACTCATTCATGGGCTTGACCTGCCAGATGCCAAAAAACTCTACAAACCCATGCTTTCCTAAAAAGAGTAGGGACTAACAAAAAAATAAATGAAATTTTGAGAGTTGTGTTGCCTATTGTGAGCCATGCTGTCCATATATTTAAACTTTGGCAATCGCGAAACAAAAGAGAGTTTTGAAGGAAACTTTTGAACGAAAATGAGCAATGGAATTTGCGCACAATATCTTGTGATATTTTGTAATGAAAGAAATTAAAACAATTGAAGTGAGAAGGAGATCCATTAGCCGATCGATCGATTGACCATGGTTGTATATTTGAGAATGAGACGCTGTGTGTTGTATTCGAATTGACGAACATAAAAGGAAATGCAAAATAGCTATTAACTTTCAAGAGATTTTATTGGCTTTTCCAGATTTGTTGTCGAATTGACCACAAATAATTTTCATGATGATTTAAATTAATTAAAATTTTTTCAATACTGCAATTGTTTAGAAGAATTGACACAGAAATCAATAAAGTTCCAAATCACGATATTGATGCGAATCCAATCGTGTCGCATTCCCTCGTGCGGAAAATAATCTCTTCCTCTCCATCCATTCCTTCATCTTTTTCCAATGCTGTTTGTAATTAAATAAACCTCTCCACAATTTTTTCACATAAACTCCAGGAGGTAACAATACAAGTGACAGATAGGCTAAAATTCTATAAAAGATTCCAAATAATGGAAGAATCCAAACACATTTGGTTTGATCTGAAAATTGATAACCCAATAATTCCATTCCACTTTCCACAGAATAAACACTTGTATATTTCTTAACTTCAAATAAATAGAGAGCTTCTGTTGCATATCGAAGATAGGAGAGTGAATAAATATAAGGCATTGGGAAGAACATGTCATTCATTTGAGGAATGGTTGGTCTCATTCCTGCAATTAAATTGTTAATGACCACAAAGACGACTCCAGCTACTTTGGAAAAGGAAGAAGGAAAGAGTGTGGATAACAAGTAACCAATGCCATAACTCACAAAATTGACATTGAAAAGTACCAAATAACTGAATTTGGTGTCAAGTTGGAGTTTCAATGAATGTTTGGTCCAAAGTTAGAATTTTTCAATGAATTCACATCAACATTTCATGAATTAAAAAAAAACACAAATATTACTTACTATTGCCAAACATCTCCTTGAGGGTTACTGATAATGTAAAATATGGAAATGAAAATACCAGGAGTTAAAAATATGATTGGAATTTGCATCAAATTCTTTGCTAAGAAATACATGAGAGGTGAAATGTTACTTTCATATTCTCGAATAAAGACCACAATTTCATCTCCAAAATTACTTAATGAACTCATGACACCACACAATGCCAATCCCATAGAGAGAATGGCTCCCATGGTGATAATTGGATCATCGACTGGGAGTGCACACTTGTATCTCATTGCTGTGTTTTCATTGAAATAATTGATTCAAAATAAAAATTACAAAATTATTTCAAATAATTAAAACATGACAGAAAAATATTTTGATAGAACCATTCATTCACTCGCACGTTGTGACACTTACCTTCAGGACATTGTTCAATAATTTCAGTCAATGGTGGACCAATGTATCGAGTATCGTAAAATATCACACCAATGGCCAATCCTGCAATATAGACCAAGAAACAATCCAACACAAATGATTTTGTCTCTCTTGTACTTTGAAAAATACATCTCTTCAGACACATGATGAATTGTGAAAAGTAGCTTACATGTCTTGAATTGTGTTCTTGTTTGAGAGCTTCATACGAACAATCCATTGAATCTTCACTTTGATGTGAAAGAGATGGATGGGAATCTTCTCGATGATGGTGTGAAATTTGTGTATGATGAGAATCAGTGGCTGCATCATTCGATTCTTCCAAATCATGTTGAGTCAAGTTCGTAGGAGATGCATCCACTGCTGGAGAATTATCAACGGATATTGTCTTTTGAGAATTGTCTCCACTCCATAAATGAGATCGTTCTTCCCACATTTCAAATAATTGTTCTGGATCGAAATGAGTATCTTGTTCTCTTGAAACATTTCCTGAAATAATGTCAAGCATGAAATCTGCTGGATTGACATTGACAGGTGGTTGAAAACCAAGACTTTGGAAATAATCCATAGCTTTCACACTTGGACCAAAGTACACCACTCTTCCTCCTTTTCCGAGAAGCATGATTTTATGGAACATGGTAAAGATTTCATATCGAGGTTGATGAATGACGGTCACAATGGTTAAATGTTGATTCACGGCAATACTTCTAAGAATTTCAATAATTTCCTTTGAGGTTGAAGAGTCCACTGTGAAAATAATTTTGTGTTGAAAACATTAATATTCCAAATTCAAAATTACTATTCCATACTGGTTCTCATCACATTTTATACTTACATCCACTGGTTGGTTCATCCACTGTGTGTGTTTTCATCGAATTTTTGATATTCATGATTCATCATTCATTTTGAAAATACATGAAATGTTATGGAACCAAATTTGGATAAAATTTCACTCAACTTACAAAATAAGACACTTGGAACTGCTGATAATTCCATTCCAATATTCACACGTTTTTTCTGACCTCCAGAAATTCCTCTCTTCTTTTCATCTCCAATGAGTGAATGCTTGACATCTTCCAATCCCAAAACTGAAATGATACTTGATACCAAATTTTCAACTTGTTCATTGGTTTTGCTCTTGTCCAATCGACATTTGGCAGCAAAGTACAAGGTCTCATAAACAGTCATTGAGGGAAGCATAATGTCATTTTGTGGAACAAACCCAACAAGTTTTTTGAATCGTGTTAAATCGTCCTCTTGTCCATTTAGCTTGACTTTTCCAGTTCGTTGTCCATAATAAGCTCTTCCGGAAAGAGAGGTAATGAAACTTGTTTTTCCACTGTTTCATTATTAGGGATCGCACGACAAAATAAAACCATATATTAAATTTTTTTTAACCAAAATAGGAATTAAAGAAAAAAAGCTAACGAAAAAACAAACCTTCCAGAACATCCCATAATTCCAGTCAATTCCGAGTGCTTAATCATTCCTGAAACATTATTGAGAACTATTTTGTGCTCACCGGCTTGTTCAACCGTGAGTGACAAATTCTCAAATTCAATATTCACACCTAAATTATTAGATCCATAATGTTGACTCATGTTTCGATCGGCATAGGCCGTTCGAGCCTCTCTATTGTTCACATTTGTGTTGATCGAGGAGAGATGCATTTCAATTTCTTCCTTTTCTTTCAAATCTCGTTTCTTGGCTCTTCTTGCTCGCACATACTTGATACCAACATTGATGGAGAATACAAGAATTAAGCAAATGAAAATAAAAAAGAAACCTAAAATGTTAAATCCAACACTGGATTGACCTTCTGAGCACAATGAAAGCCAACTATTGTCAATTCCATTACAACAATATATATTTTACAATTTTGAAAAATAGAAAATTGGAAAAGATGGAAAAGATTGAAAAATATATTGTTGTACAAAATGTTAAATAACAACAAAACATTAACACATGAAATACATACCCGCATGGATGAGGTCGAACGGTTCCTGATGGACAAAAGTGACCTTTAGGACAAATCTTTCTCACTTTTGGATTTTCACAATAATATCCAGCTTCACATGTTTGTGGAATAAAAGTTCCTTCTGGACAATACTGAGTGAGTTTACACGTCTTGATGTTCGAAGGTCCCAAACAATAGAATCCAGCAGGACACGCTCTCTCAATATAACTTCCATTCGGACAATAGGTACAAAACGTGGCATTGCAGAAACAAATTTCTGGAGTCATGACTAGTGAATTTTCACAAAATGTTCCTTGTGGACATTCGAGGAGAGTTGTTGTTTCGATTGGATCAAACATGCTACCGACATCGATGGCCCGTGCCAATGGACAATAATCTCCCTTATTGCAATGCTTAATAGTCAAATCAATGTCACTTGTTCTCTCGACGTAGAGACCTGGTCCAATTGGAATTTCAGGAAAATACGGAGCGAGTGTGATTAGACCTTTTTGTGGTGCTTGAGGTTCTGTTAATCCATTAAAAGCACAATTATAGTGATTATCGGTACAGGGTTTTGGTAAATTCATTTTCACTTCGTCACAAATAAATCCATACGGACATTCATGTTTTGAACCCAATGTACAAAAACTTCCAATGGGGCAAGGTAATAAAGCATTCGGTCGTTCTGTATAGAAACGATCTTGGACAGAGTACATTTCATTCTTGGTTAAACTTGGACAGTACATGCCTGGAAAACAACTTGAAATGTAAAATCCAAAAGTATTAATGTTGATTGGTTTTGGAGGAGATTTGATGCAACTCGTTCTGTAATCTTTGAGAAAGACATGATCAGGATCATTCTCGAGAATGTTACAAATTTCTTGATATCTCTTGAGTGATTCAATTTCCCACTTCTTGCGTGTGATGGAAATGAAAATATGTTGTCCATTCGAGGAAATGTAGGTATGAATAGGTTTTCCAATTAATTGAAATTGATTAAAAGGTTTGACAATTAATTCCTTAGAAATTCGATCACAAAATCGTTGTTGAATTCCGTAAATGAGAACGGCATTATTGTCGAGTGCAATAAAGACGTTATATTGCAAATAGTCGTTCATAATTTCTTTGAGAGAATCTTTTCCGAGGGCTCCAAATGCTTGTGCTTGACATTGCAATTCCAAAGTTCGATTTGTAATGGTTTCCATACATTGTAAATATTGATTCACATTGAAAGGTTTGGTTGGATTCATGACATCTCCTCCTGCAACAGCTAAACAAATAAATTGAATGGCTTGTTGAATTTTCTCAGATTGTTCACTGGACTGCTTTGAAGCTTCTGTTAAATAATCCTTCACTGCTTGAGGTAAATCAATAAAACGAGAATGAATTTGAAGGGCCTTCGAAGGTAATTCAATGAGATATTCATGAGCTTGTGAACATGTTTCAAGGATCGAATCAAAATAATATCCATTCGAAATGTCACAATTCAATTCATCATTTCTTGAAACAGGTGACAATGTTCTATTAAAATCTTGAGATGGAACAAATGATGCAAATTCTGGTAAATTTCTCACCACCAACTTGGAAAAGTTACTTTTCAGAGTGTTGGAATAGAGTGTCACAAGAAGATGCACCTCCTGTGATGGAAATAATTTCTCATCGTCCGACAATGTACACGTATTGGTGGTATTATCTGAAAAATCAATTCTTCTCAACTCTTCAGTCATGACTGCACTTGAGGAAATGTAAAAATCATTTTCAATCATTTCAGCATTCAGTGAAAACATTAAATACGATAAACTCGTATTCGCACCAATCTCAATCACAGCATTGCTTTCCACAAAATTCACAATATGAATGGTTTTTGGTGTTTGCAACACGATGAGATTTCTTTCCATCATTTGAGTGTCTCTCACATAAATCGAAGGAGAAAGTCGCTCAGTATTATTCATGGATTGAGTGAATGTGTAAAAATTCAACTCGGAAGAATCCATCCCACTCAAATCAAGAGTGTACTCGAATGCATTCATTTCCAAAAGACAATCAAGTCCTAATTTTGAGAATTTCAATGTCTTGATTTTGTTATGATATTTCTGTGAGTCCTCGTCATCTTCATGTGAAATGAGTGTGACCAAATACAAATCCTCTCCAACTTTGACTGATTTAAAATCTTCAATTCTTCCACCCACTTGTTCTCGTTTACATAATTTACTATTCATGACAGGATTCATAATATCCACATAAAAGATTCTCATAAATTGTTGCTTATCTGCAGACACGACATATGCAGCCGTGTTATTCACTCCCAACACAAAGGCATCCAATTTTGAAATGGAATCGTTTTGAACCTCATGAGGATCCTTCGAAGAAGTCTGATTCACTGTTAAAAATGGATACAATTCATTACTGTTAAAATCAATGGCATAAATTTCTCCCGTGTTCATTCCAAATAATGAATATCTTTTAGAAATGAATTCACTCCGATTGGTTTCATTACTTTGATTATTATGAACAGAGACATAGAAGGGTCCAAATTCAGCAGAACTAATGGCTTGAACCGTGATACATTCCGCTCTTTGTAAATCATCACTTGGTTTTCCTGTTTCACTATCGAAACAATCAGGATCAAGTTCCATCGTGTTAAAATCGTGATCACTAAATGGATAAGGAACCACATAGGGATTGATGTATTGACAATACGAAGGTCGAATCGATGTGGAAGAAATGTCATTCGATTTCACACAAATGTCTTGCAACCAACTCGTCGTTCCATTGATACAAATTCCTGAGGATGGAGTATCAGATGCAGTGAATGGTCGTTGTTTGGTAACTTCAGAGAGTGAGTTCTTGTGGTTTCGGGATGACGAGGACGACCAGAATTCTGAAGTGGTCATTTCCATTCGTTCATGAGGAAGTGAAGAAGAAGCAACAATAGTGAAAGAGGTCAAATTAGCAACCATGATGATGGATGCCACTAGAGTCCATACACTGCATGGCACTAGGAGCTTGTGTGTCATCTCGTTGTTTTCGTAATTTTTTTTGAGTGGAATAGAATTGGAAATCAAAAAGAATTGAACATGGATGATTTTGGAATTGTTGCTAGAGCGGGCGGGTTTGTTTGTTCGTTCGATTTGAACACACTGAGTAGTACCATCACATGTCATGAGGTGTTGTGTTTACAAAAATTATTAAGATCAATCTGAGGCTCATTGATCCATTTAATGACCTGCAGCAAATTGTGAATGTTTTTCTCTGACAGCTGTCATCAATTCAGGATACAAATATCCAGCAAATCCCAATAATCCAAAATAACCAGCAGCCAACACACCAACAATGGAAGCCAACACCAATGGTTGTTTCATCTTGTATCCCAATGCAACATTCAATCCATACAAGGAATGATACACACCAGCACTCAACAACACAACGAAATACGACATTCCAACAGCAAATCCCATTTCCTTTTCCAATACGTAATTCAATGAAGCAAATTCCTGTGCATACGAATGCATAAATCGAGTTCCGAACAAGTGAAGAGGAACCATTCCTCCCAAAGCATATCCCGAATAGGTATGAAGTTTCTTCCAGAAGGATCGGACGATTGGTTTTTCTGTTGTTGTAGTCATGAAAATTAAAGTATTGGCAATCATGTGGAGAGCCAATGGAGCAAAAACAACCAATCCTTCGATGGCCATGGATGGCCGATACCATTTACGAGTGGCATTCAACACGGAATCGTATTGAGAGGGTGAAAGAGAAGCAGAAATGGTGGTGGCCACATGGAGGGAAGCAAACACAGAGAAGGCAATTCCGCTCCAGTGCTGTAATTTTCTCAATACAGGACTAGAACCAGAGGATGGTGATGTAGAAGTGGTGGTCGTCTTTGCTGTCATTTTTTTTGTGTTTTTTTTGGCCAATCGTAAAATTTTACGGAGTTTTGAATTTTACAACATTCACGATACAGTTGAAATGACGTTCTTTGAACACATCCAAGAGTGTTCCACCACATTCAAACAACTCCTCATTGTCAATCAAGGTGATTCTGAGGTGATCCACTTTCTCTCTCTTTAGAGTTTCAGAAAAGACTTCAACCACTAGTACAGGAAAGCGATTAATTGAGCACCAAAAAAACCAATTGGGCCTCGTATTTCCAATCATTCAACTTCAATCGGAAGATGAATATTTATACAATACTCTCATAGGGAAACAAAAGTTACAACAATATATTTGAAAAAAGATTTTCCATTTTTGAAAATTGTGTCCCTATATCAACAGGTTGGATGTAAACAAATACACGTTGATCCTTGTTGCGATCAGTATTGTTATTGTTGTTGCTTGTTTGTTGTTGTTTCATTTCTTTTTTGTTTTTCTTTTGTACTTCGATTAAATACTTGATATCGTCATCATCGGTGTCATTCTCTTGATTCTTCTTCTTCTTCTTTTTGGGTGAAGTGTGGCCATGTGGCGTATTAAGTTGCGTGGTGGATCTTGCTGATGACCGAGCGTTGCTCCTCTCGTTTGGTTTTTTGGGCATGTTGTCTGATAATTTTAGTTATTGGAGGTAAATAATTTTTTTTGTTGAAACTCCGGGGAGGGGGATCGAGAGCGTAGGCAGTCAGACTTTTGCCTTCCATTTTGGGACTAACTATATTTGTACATCTTAACACACGAATTGTGGCATTACATAATGAATCAAAAACTGCGCGTACATAAGGGTACGTGTACCTTATTGGAAGTTAAAGTAGATCGTTATATGAATTTCTAGTATTTTTCTTTGTTGATCAAACTCGTCCAAGCAGATTTACACCTGAGTTTTTCGCATCTTAATGCTCGTCAACAGCTAGAAATCAGCATCTCGAAATCAAAATGCAGCAAGATACTAATGTGACCTGCCAAACTTTCCTCAATGCATGTATAATGCACAATAATTGTGTATAATTAAAGTCTCGACATCCATGTCCTCAATTACCGAGAACTCTTTGGCTCAGATTGACGTATAAAGTTAGGCCCAAAATGGAATTTAGCTTGCTGATTGAGTCGATGGAAGCTACGCTCTCGATCCCCCTCCCCGTGAAACTCTTTTCATTGTAATCAAAGTGATATGTTCATCATTGAAAGTGCTTTCACATTTCTATTGGAGTCTTGAAAAATGTTCCTAGTTCAACATGAAACATGGCTCTTTTGCAATAAATAAATACTGATCAATATTTTCTGTGTGTGACTCGAATTGATGAACATTGTTATTATACCTGTATGTTGACAATAGACTCCTGACGTCGGGAAATGCTGAGTTGTTGTGTGAGGGAGTAGTACTTGACACGATTCTCTTCAGATAACTAATCACAGTCTGCAGTGTGTTCAACAACAGGTCGTTCAAATGCTAGAGAAGAGCGCCTACAAGGTTAATGGAGGTGAGAAAACTCAATTTAAGAGTGTTTTTTGGGCATATAAAGGGGTGTCATGTGTATTCCAAAGCCATCGATATCCCTTATTGTCACATCCTTGGCTGGATAATTTTTCTTTTGTAGTAAATGATGGGTTCAGTCTGAAAATCCTTAAAGAGATATTATTGTGGAGCGAGATTCTTGAATTCAAGTAACTCCTTAAATGTTGAGTTCATCATTCTTTGACACCGTTATTGCCAATTAAATCCGTGCAGGTTCAAAGAAGTCAAATTCTTCAAGTACTCGCTTGCAGCAATATATTTGGCTCCTTCAGTACCAATAGCATTGTATCTAAGATCCAAAGAAGTCAAATGTTTCAGTGATTCGCTTATGGCAATATATTTGACCCCTTCACTGTCAATGTTATTGCTACGAAGATCCAAACAAGTCAAATTCTTCAAACATCCACTTGTAGCAAAATATTTGGCACCTTCGCTGTCAATTTGGTTCTCAGACAGTTCCAAAGAAATCAAATTCTTTAAGTATTCACTTGCAGCAATATATTTGACACCTTCATTGCCAATTCTGTTGCTACGTAGATTCAAAGAAGTCAAATTCTTCAAAAAGTCGCTTGTAGTAATATATTTGACGCCTTCATTACCAATCACACTGCGAGACAGATTTAAAAATGTCAAATTTTTCAACCATTCACTATTAACAACATATTTAACGCCTGAATTGCCAATTCCATTGTTGCTCAGACTCAAAGATGTCAAATTCTTCCAACATTCGCTGATAGAAATATGATTGACACGGTTATAACGAATTCTATTGCTGCTAAGATTCAAAGAAGTCAAATTTTTCAAATGTTCACTGTTAGAAATATAACTAACACCTTCATTGTGAAATTTGTTGCTGCTAAGATTTAAATAAGTCAAGTTCTTCAACCATTCGCTGTTGGCAATATATTTAATACCTTCATTGTCAATTTCATTGCCATACAGATCCAGAGAAGTCAAATTCTTCAATGATTCACTCGTAGCAATGTATTTAATTCCTTCATTGCCAATTGTATTGATGTTTAGATTCAAAGAAGTCAAATTCTTCAACCATTCACTTGTAGCAATAAATTTGACTCCTTCATTGCCAATTTCGTTGTGTTTCAGATTCAAAGAAACCAAATTCTTCAAACATTCACAATTAGCTAAAAGTATGATTGATTCAGGAACTTGTTTAAAGTAATTTTCTGCGAATGATAATGAGAGAGGAATTTGAAATGATACTCGTCTCCATTGTTTCGAAATTTTCATACAAACTTGAACAATAAACAACGATTCAAAGAATTGAACAATTTCAAAAATAATATCATCAATAAAGGGTTCATGGTGGATCTCGTTAAAACTTGTCGGAGAAAAATCAATATTCTCATCATTATCATTGATCATTATTGACGATGATGATGATTTTGTTGTTGTGTCTATTTTTTTGAAACTCTTCTCGTTCGTCAAGTTCCAATGATATTCCTATAAAATTGTTGTTTGAGAATTTTTTCATTCCCGCGCGCGCCAAAACTCTACGAAAAATATTAACAAATGACTCCCTCACTCACTACCGAAAATTATGAGGAGGATACGGGAAAGATGGAAATTGGATCAATGCAGTCTTTTTCTTCTTCTCATAGAATGAGATCGGAAGTCTATAAAACGACAGAGAAGGGTCCGAAAATTACTTTCAAACGTTCGGAAGTGAATATCCACAATGCTTCATCATCATCATCTTGTTCTTCATCATCCTCCAATAGCTCTTCATCCTCATCAGGCTCTTCTAGGGCATCAAACTATGAACCACAATCAAAGAAGAATTCAAAATACATTGGAACATGCTCTCCAGAGCAAGAGGATCCCAACGAACATTTAATATTAAATGAACCACTATCTCCTTCGTCCAAAGGATTGATCAAAACTATAATGAAAAGTACTGTCAATGGAGGAATTGAAATTAAAAGATTGGACACGATAAAGGAACCGTTCACAACACCACGTTCGGGCGCATGTGGAGACGGTATTTTATCTCCCAAGAGTGCTCAAGAACAGATACCACTTTCACCAATTGAGCCGAAGAAACAGGATACCGTAAAAGATGTATCAAGTGAATCTCAAAGCAAGCCGAGAAATCAACAAAGCGCTGTTAAGGTCGAAGAGAAAGAATTCACAACTCAGCAAAATGTGGTGCCCCAAACACCAGAAAAAGAAAAACGAAAAATACAAGTAGTGAAATTGAACGTTGGAGGAAAATTATTTCAAACGACATCTAAAACTTTAAAAAAGTCAGAAATTCTGTATTACCTTTATCGAAGCGCCAATTCCCAGAAAAAAAAAGAAAATTCAATTGAAGCTGTAACAGACGAAAACGGCGTCATTTTCATTGACAGAGACCCAAAATATTTTATTCACGTGTAAGTGTAAATTTATGAACTGTTCCCATTTAGAGATCTATTCAAAACAGGTTGAATTATTTGAGGGACGGCATGCTCGTTGGATGTATTGAAGACCTCTCACATGGTATGATTGAGCACATCATTCATGAAGCAAGTTATTTCAAAATTTTTGGATTGATCAACGATATTGAGGAACAACAAATTAGAAATGTAAAATTTGATCAAGCCACGTTGGAAGATTGCCAACTACGGCATTACAACCAAGAAGTGGTCAAGAGATCAGAATCAGGTTCGCTTTACTCATGTCTCGATTATGTCATGAACAAGAAACGAATTTCTCTTTGTAATAATCCATACAGATATTACACCAAGTTTGTTCTCCGCTATGGAGATTCAAGCAATTTAGCATTGGGTAAGTGTTATTACAAGGAGTACTTGACGAAATATCTTTTAAAGGAGTAACATGTAAACAAGCAGACAAATGGAAACGATTTGAAATACTCAAAAAAATCAAAGAAAAAGATACTATTGCCATATGGTATAACTATGAAGCTGAACAGCTTGTTCTGTATTGGAACGATGTCCAAGTTCAAAGAAAAACATTTAAAATAGATTCCAACGATTGGGTATTTCATGTGGAAATGTTTGCTGACGACAATTATTGTGGATTGAAGGTAGGTTCATATATATTTATCCACGTTATGCGTATTAACATAAACTTTAGATTGTTCAAACTACTCATCCTCAGTTAAGCACAACACCGGAAGAGACGAATGTGAAATAAGTTAAGATAGGGGTATAATGATCAAATAATGCGCACCTTTTTCGATCCTCAATAACCAACCTTGATTTCATAGAGAGATCATTCACGCGGCTCTCAAGAGATTCATCTCTCCGTCTTTCACACCTATTCCATAACCCCCAGAAGGACCAACAACTGTCAGCCGCCAAAAAAATAGCTGAAGCCTTTGTACTGTAAATTTTTGAGAGCGAGGCTATCTTTTTCTGTTTTAAGAAATTATATAAATTATCGGAATGCTTTCATCCGAGTGTGGTTACTTGTAATTGCTCATCATTAGTATTATTTTCTGTACTACATTTCAATCCTTGATTTAATCTTCTTCCGATCATTTTCGGATCATTCAATATTATTCATCATACATATTTCATATTAATTTACTTCTACTCATGAAAACAAGCTCCTATTCCGCTCCCTCTTCCTACGAACGACATCCACCAAGTACCTTTACCAAACGCGATTCAATTTTGAGCATTGAGAATTGTTTGGGACAATCAATTGCCACGAAACAACAACCTCCACCTCCGAGCAGCTCTATCCCTTCTTCAGTGGCACTAGTAGCCAAAGAAGGAGCTCCTTCTACGAGTCGTACTCATTACCCTTCCTCAAATCAGGGCCAAAACCACTTAGTTAATCATCAACATTCATTTGTAAATAGAGCTCATACTGTAGATGGATCATCAGGGAAAAGCTCTTCATGCAGCACAAATTCGACACATCAACCACTCTCTCAAAGAGCCATTCCCAAACGAAAACTCATGGTGATGAGTATGTTACAAAATCAATTGGAAGAACAGAGACAAAAGAAAGTTGCTGAACAGCAACAAGAATATATACAATCGACGATTCATTTATCGTCACATCAAACACAAAATAGCAAGGTGAATCGAATGACCATTAATCATAACTTAATTGTGAACAGCGAGGAACATCAACAAGGAATGTTTCAAGAATTGAAAGAATTTTTGGATCCTTTTGGTTTAGAACAAGATGATTCGCCACATCTTTCTGAACACAATTCCAGTACATTCATTAAGGATACGCCAAATGTACTGCTTCAGCAACACAATATTGACACTATTTCTCCAACTTTTAATCCTTCTCCAAACATGCTTCAAAATAATTTACCATTTAATCTTGAGGCAAAACATACAGTCTCGACTTCATTTAGAAAAAAACCCCAACCGAAAGAATACATGGTAAAAATTACAAATTTACCCAATTCCATTACGATGAATGATATTCATAATTTAATTCTGGAACGTTGTAAAATTATTTCTGAAAATATTCAAATCAAACAAGCAAAAACAAATTCACAAAGCAAATATGCCCTCATTGACATGCAATCGAAAGAAGATGCTCAACAAGTGAAAACAAATATTGAAGGATTGAAAATGGACTTGCACGAATTGAAAGTTAAAATCAAAGTGAAAAAACAAAAAACCACACAATCCAACGATAAGAAGAAACAAAAGTCAACCAATAATGACGAATCAATTGTCACAATTTATCGAGCTTTTGATGCACAAGACGCTACGAGTGCAAAATCCGTCCCACCTCCCATTGAAAACTTTTTTACGTCCATCCAGATTGATTACAAAATCACAGAATCGGTCGAAGATATTTTAGGCTATACTTATTGCAACAAATCTTATTTAATGATTGCCCTAACACATGGACATCCTACCATGAAGGAATGGACCTCTGAATCGAGAAGAATGATTTCATCGTTTCTACAAGATCCTCATTTCGTAATTTTTGCTGATCATCCAACATTGGACCAATTAATTTCACACTCCCACAATGAAATTGAGCACACCATTATTATGTCTTCACTCATGAAGCTAAACACATTAGATCAATATTGTAACAAGTTCACAAGTGGATACAATGTGGTCTCTGTTTCAGACTTGGCCGATTGTTTTTTGTCTCTCATGTATTCAGTGAAAGAAGATTGTCAAGGAGACGAAGAAGAGTTGAAGGTTGTGCTGTGGAGAATGTATCAACCTTTGGGATGTCTAGTGAGCGCAAATATTTCTGAACAAGATCTTGAGATGCTGCTCCAACGAGGGGCCACATGTCACTCTTGTCAACACAATATCACACCTTCCTCAATCAACAACACCAAATGGTCCACCGAAAATTTCAACAAACTTGTCAATCAAAACTTAATCACAGATCCCAACGGAGAGTTAAATTATGAAGGTATGATTTTTTCTGAGGAATGTTTAGGAAAGGCACTGCATTATGCTTCTCGAGCATCAAGCAAAAGTACTTCATCGATTAAGGCGCTCATACGACGAGGGGCTGATCCAAATTTTCGATGGAATGGATTTACACCACTCATGATTGCTAAAACTCCCTCTCAAATCAAAACTCTTATTCAATGTGGAGCTGCTCTTGATGATGTGAGCGAACCTCATGGACTTGGTGTATTGAGATGTGCCGTTGAAAGAAGGAATTTAGCTGTGGTGAATTATTTGTTGGAAGAGTTTGGGTTTGTCACAATCCTCGAGGATCAAATACTACAAGCGACGGATCATGCCATTCAACTCGTATCTCGCTCCAATCATTTGGACGAAAAAAAGAAGGCGAAATTATTCGAAATTATTGAAGTTTTACAAAATGCTTTAACGTCTAATATGGATTAAGGAATGGAACATGGAGCAACAGTCACACAGCAGACCAAGCACGTTCAAATTTTCTAAATTTTGATCAATACTCGAATGTGTATTGTTGAACGATCCCATTCGCAATGCATGATTGAATTTGCAGATTTGGGTGAACTTGTGTTAGTACGAAGGTATCAAAACTCAGTTTTCATTATTGAACAAAAAAATTGAATCTCCGACTCGACTGTCTCGTCACATCAAGGACCAGCGCAAACAACACAGAAATGCCACCCACAGAACAAACTCGCACTCCTCATTCCCTTCTTTTCCATCTTCCGAGAGAGATTTTCCTTTACAACATTTTTGAATACTTGATTGGACCTATTGGATTGTTTTCAAGAGCATTCCATGCATTGGATCATACAACGTATCAGGACGACCTCTCCTTGTCCAATTTACTATCCGATCCCATCGTTTCCAATTTTAGTATTTCATTTGAAAATGTGAAAGGATTGAATTCATTTTGTATGGCTACTTGTAAAACATTGGTGGAACGATTTTTACCATCACAATTTGGTTCAACTGATGATCGTTGTGATGATGCTGAACATTATAATATTTTCATGGAAAAGTATTGGCTCACTCTTTCAAACATGTTGGATTTAATTATTTATTTGAAAAGAAAACCCAATTCTCTCTCACTCGTTCAAGGAGATTTTAACGCAATTGAAGCAGAAGAAATGGCAAACATCCAAATCTTGTATCAAAACGTCGAATTTGGAAAATGTGTCAAATATTCAGAGACCATCATGGATGGAAATAGTTCTTGGTATGCTAGTAATTATATAGACCATATTCGCTCACTCAAGGATGAAAATGACGTTGAACTCATTGCACTCAATTATGAAGAACGGTTACGACTTGTAGTCATGAGTTTTGACAAGTATGAACAAGTGAAAATGCAAATGAAAGGAAAAATTTCAAGTTTTGAACTCTTTCTCATGAAGGCACATATTCTGTCTCTTGGAATGTTGGAACATTTTGATGTGGAACAATACCACTCATACAACCAAAACTATATGGATTTGGTTCATGAAGATTTTTATGACAATTTGACGTTTCCACATGTTGCCTCAAGGTGTGATTATTCTTTGGATGAAAACCAAGCTGAGAAGAGTGTAGTAGCAAGCGTCAAGGAATTTTGGCCGAACAAGGACATGCTTCCATCGAGTGCCATTCAATTCTTGAGCGTTGGATTCGATGAATATTTTGGATCTTGTTTTGATGATATTGTCTTTCCCAACGTAAAATATTTAAGAATTGTCATTGGACATGAACAATATTCACGAACAGAGGAATCTATTCAAGCCGAGAAACAATTATTTTCAGCACTCACTAGTAAGGCCTTTCCCAAATTATGTCACTTGTCCGTTAAGGGAATTTATAACCTTCAAACGCTGAGTCAATGTGAAATTCTCCAACAATTGTTATACTTGGATGTCATTCCATTCCCATACGATGAAGGTTCTTCATTCAAATTGCTTTGGAATGAAAACGAAATGCCCACACTCATTCAATTATTGACTCGAGAGACATGTCCAGTTGCTCCTCATCTCATTCAACTCATTGTTCATGGAAGTATTAATTGTAAATGGTCTGATTTGACTTGGGATCGATTGAAAGAGTTTTATCAAACCACGAGAAACAAATTTGTGGCTTCACTTTCTCATTCATCCATTCAAGAATTTTATTCTACATGTTGTGAATAAGGGAAATGAATGACTTTTGGAATGATAATTTTGATTTAGTGTTAAGAAAAAGTTCATTTGAAAATTTGAACTCGATCATTGTGTTTGTCACATACGAATAATTCTCCTTCGAGTTCATTCAAACAAATTCCACCCGTGGAATTGAACTGATCTGTGTAATTACCAGGAGTACCGTTTCCTATTTGGCCAATCACACGAAAATGATTCTTTTCAAAGGACAGTATTTGAATTCGATGTGGTTCACATACAAATAAATGTTCACTGTCAAATGTCATTTGTCCTGGATTGTGTAAATCAATCTGGCGGGCCAATTCTATGGGTTGCCATTCCCCAACTCCATTTCCTTTCGATCGTTCAAACAATTTCACTCCACTCAGTGTTGGCCGTTCTTCACTCACAACAAGATATTCTCGATCGATGAATTCTTTTTTTGGAACCAGTAAACCAAGGGAAGGTGCATAAAACAAAGATTGAGGTTCTAATAAACGAACAGTTCCAATTTGTTGTCCACAAGTGGTATCGAGAATGATCAGACAGTCGTTGCCACTGTCAGAAATAAATAATTGATTTTTCACAAGTTGAGACAGAATGATACTCTGAGGATCGAATAATAATTGTCGTCCAAACTTCCAAATGGGTTGAATGTTCGATTCCACACTCATACTCTGATTAGTAGTAGTAGTATTCAAAATTGTTTTGTGTTTGCATTGTTGTAGTAGTAATAATTTCAAATCAAATTTAAAAATTGAAACTTGATCATGACTTTGTGCACAAAGAATCAAAGCCGACGTTCCATATTCAAAATCTTCTTCCACACACATCCAAGTTGGTTTTCGAATTTGATCCACACGAATTCTTCCTCGAAATGCTCGCAATCCACGATGATGATCAAACACTTGAATCGAATCACTCTCAGGGACACTAATTAAAATACATGAGTGTTGATAGGATATTTTGACATCGCATGGAATTTCGCCTTCAAAGAATTCGGAATTGTCTGATCGAATGAGAAGGGTTTCTTGATATTTAAAATTGGAAACTAAGAAGGGCTTTCGAATGTGACCCGAGAGGGGTCGTTTCATCTTGTCTTTGAATTTTTCAAAGATTGAATGGGTGTGAGGAGAACTTGAATCACATTCCGATTGCAAGTCGATCAGAGAGAGGTGTGTCACAACACAGCTCGGTAATAATATTTCTGTATTCAAATTCATTTTTTTTTAATTCATACTTGTCAAGGCGAGGTGTTGGTGGTCTTTGTGTTCACGATCGTCATGATTATTGGAAATAATTTTCAACTAAATTGTCATTGACACTAGTTCCAAATCGCAATACTTTTGAGCCATCTTCGGCATAGTCGGTAGAGACGCTGGCACTATCGAGTCGATCATGATTACTGTCGTAGGAATTTGTAATGCCTTGACTGTCCAAAGAGTGATGACCTTCTAAATATCGAATCTTTTCTTTGGTTTCACAAAGTTCGCGTTCAATTCGTTTTCTGGTTTGAACTTCTTCATTGAGCGAGTTCATTAAATAAGTGTTATCCTTTTTAAGTTTGGTGAGTGCCTTCTTTAACATTCGATGATATCTGTTTTTAGGTCCTTTCTTGTATCGATAAAAGTAACTCACCCAAAAGTGAGTAGTCAGAGTATCCATATCAGTATTTACAATCAAAGTTGAAAATTCGCTATTCTTGGGATTATATACATCATTCACATAGGCTGAACGATTTGCTAGAATCTCCGTCCAAATTGATACTGTTTCCTTTGTAATAGAGTCCTCTGCCTGTTGTTTTGGAGAATTATGCAAAAAGTTTCCAAATTTACACGAGTACAAGCTATCCAAAATCAAGAATAAGAAATTCTCATTAAATTCAAAATGTGAAGGATACTGCTGCCAAATCTGAAAAACACAGTCAATAAATTGTAAAAATACAGGAGAAACTTCGTCAGATACTGAGTTATTTCCATGCTTGGGAGCATAGTGGCCAACTCGATCCAAAAATTTGTGGCCAAATGAAACCCATTCTTTTTCAATTAGGACCTCGAAACCTTCAATCGTTCTGTAATATGGATCTAACAATAGCTCTGCAAGTGCACAAATTTGAGCAGTTCTATCCCATCCGTCACTGCAATGCACCAATACTGATGTATCAAATCGCTCTATGGAAGCTACAACTTTTGCAGCAGCTTGCATGATGAGTTTGGAGTGTTTTAACCAACCAGTAGCTTCAAAAGCGGATAACCAATACAGGTCATTATTTTGTTTTTGAATTAATTTTTTGAGCATGTTCAAACTGCTGCTCATGGCATGAATATTCTCAATATTCATAAACTCTAGTGAACAATTTGTATAATATGAAATATTTTCGTAACCTTTGCCCATCACCGTGTTGGCCCAAGCGTTGGCCTTTGGTCTGCAATCAATGATAAGTAGTCGTTCTGATCCAGAAGCTCTTCGGATGGCATCCACTAATTCCTCATCTTCTTTACATCTGGCTCGAGTTATACCCACCATAGGTTGACTTGATCTAACAATACAGAGTTTCTTAATAGGATGTATCCATGAGAGAATAGGAATTCTTCCCTTACTACGAAATAACGAAGCAGCAACTAGCATTTCATCGTTCACATCTTTTGGAACGATTAAATGTTCGGGATATGTGTCACATATTTTGTATTTGACATTGACACCTGTATCGCGCCACATAGAAGCACTGCTTTTTAGTTTTAGCCCTTGCCTCTTGAATTCTCTCTTCATCTTGTACACCTTCCATCCATTTTCAATATCTTCTTGGCTATAGATACCGAATTCAGAAGTCATAAATTTCCTAAAAGGATACGCGAATGGTCTTCTCGAGGCTGCTCCACAGGTGCTTTTCAGTGCTTCCATTACCTTTTCCATTGTTTGAGTTGAAGCTTTGAAAAACAAAAACTTCAATACTTGGAAATCCTTGCTCTTGATACTAATGTATCCTAGACTATTGAATCTGTCAGTAGTTGTCGTAACTGTAGGAGCCGAAATTAAATATTGACTATAATAGTTGCTGTAAGTAGGTGTTTCTGTTTGTGGATATTTAACGCTCATTTTTAGAATGCATGCAAGTGGCGTGCTTAAAACAAGGTATGGTTTTGAATTACTCTGATTCAATGAAATAGCAGACCAGAATGAATATTTGCAACAGTAAAAATATTTGTTTGTAATAAATTCCAATTAATAAATAATTTTCATGAAAATAAGATTCAACCAAATTATTTTCAAATAGTTGTTAATATTGAATGTAGAATACAACATGAATAATCAGAATATAGCAGATCATAAGGTATCAACTACATACCTGAAATCGAACTTGAAAGTTAGTGATGTACAATTCTCCAAAAACAAGTGTCAATTCTGTATCCGATTGATCTGTTAGAGCGTTGGTGTTGCTACTTCCACCTCCAGAATTACTTGTTGTGCTTCCAGTGCTGCTTGCATAGTTATTATTCGAAGCGGTGGTTCCAGACAATAATTCATTGAAAAATTCTTCGGTTGTTGTTAAAAACTCTTCCACACCGTGCTTACTCGAATTGTTATTGGTTGATGAAATGGCTTGGGGGTTGGATTGTGCTTGAGGAAAATAGGTCACTGGCAAATTCTTTAGAACGCCAATGGATTTGACATGATTGATAATACATTCTCCTGGTAAGAGCCAAGCTTCGGTGCCTTCTGGAAAAATTTTCCCAATATTATGCTTGATTGTTGGTTTTGGTTGTGTGTTTTGTTTCGATTCGAGCTTTGTTAGGGCTGCTTCACTGTGATACTTCTTATTCAACATGTATGCGGAATCAATGTCGCTTTCCTCCACAACAATGTAATCATCATCGGTATTTTTCTTGAGGAGGGATTGCGAAAGAAGTGAAATAGGCTGTGACTGCAGTGGAACTGTCAAATTGGGTTGACTCTGTATATGTTGTATCAGAGAAGCAGTTCTCGATTGTACCGTTTTCTGAGTAGAGTGTTGAACAGGCATAGAGGGAACTCGTGTTGGTCGATTTCTATTATAATTGTTTCGAGAGAAAATTTCATTGCAATGAAATTTGGTGGTGTGACATTAAAGGTGGGTGGTTATCACGTGTTGAGATAATTGACAATGAAGCGATAATGAGATGAAAAACCAGTTGGGACCTGAACTTACCTCACACTATTATCGTTTTCTTCGTCATTAATCTTGTTGTTATAATTATTATTATTGGCTAAAAGCTTATCACAATATTCCGAAATACCTTCGCTTGCTAGTGCCACCGATGGAGTTGTTGACTCGTCTCCATTATTGGACTGTTGTGCTGTTGTTGACTCGTCTCCATTGGAAGAGCTTCCACTTTCATACCCATTGTCGTTCCCAGCAGCAACCGGGGAATCACCAAAAAGTCCACTCGTTCGTTTTTGTAGTTCTTTTATCATGTCATGATGTTGTTGGTTTGGATGAGAGGGTCGAGAAGGCGATTTCCTGACGAATGGAGTTGTTGTGGTTTCTGGTACATGATGGTGAGCGTTAGAAGTTGGTTTCGTTGAAAATTGTACAGTGTGGGTGTGATGATTTCTGTGTCCTTGAGTATGATTACTGTTGTTGTTATTATTGTTGTTGGAAAGTTGATGACTCAATGTTTCATTCATGATAGGCTCTTCGTCTCGGTTTAATTCGGATTTTTCACCCTGTTGCTGATCTGTTGAAATTGGTGATGATGTAGGAGGTTTATGATGAATTAATTCAATCCAATCGAGCGATCTATCAATAAATTGAAAGTTAGTAGTTTCCAATAAGTGATTGTTTTGATCTTGTTCTTGCTGATGAGTATTGTCCGGTGGTGCTGTTGTTGAGAAAATCCTCATTACCACACCAATAATATTTTCGTGATGATGAGTACAGAGCGTTCTAAAAAAGTCTCTACAACAACACGCAATGAAAGGCCTCTAATGATGTTGTTAGGTAGTGCAAGCGAATAATTGATCGGAACAACAAGAATGAAAATCAACCGACACTTTCAAAAATTCAGAATAAGAGAACCACAAGTTTTTTTCACCTCCTATTGGTTGTTGTGGTGATGATGTACAACAATTTGATTATGATGATAAATGGTTCAATTTCAATGATCGGAAGCAACAATACGTGCTGAGGATCGTTGTTCACGTCGATGGAAAGCGCAGAAGAACCAAAAAGAGATTATTTTTTGAAGAGAAAGCTTTTAATTCGATTCGTGTTGGTTACAAATAAATTAATTTATGATTAAACCTATTCGAAATATTCATTTGGGAGGGAGAACTAAATGAGAGAAACATAATTTTAAACCACAAATTGATGGTTCCAATCATAGTCCACGATAAGCTGTGTGTAGCTTCATGCAAGCTCAAACATCCAGCTTGTTCTTGAAGAAGGAATTTTTCTCTCCTTCTTTCGTCAAATTTTTCAATGTTCTTATAATTGTGAGATGAGAGATGGGTTGCAATACTTTCAAATAGAGCAAGAGTAAAAATGCAAGGAGAATTAAAGAGGCGTAGACAATCTGCAATACAAATAATCCAATCGTATACATGCAGAATATAAAAACTGAGCTACAACCAATCGTACCAAACGCTAATGTTCCAACAAGCCAAAAGAAATACTTTTTGCTGTTGTAATTTTGGCCAATTTTGAGCGTAAAAAATCGTTTTGAAAAGTGCAAGAAAGTAGCATGTGACAGCACATTCGTGTATAATCCCAAGATAATGGCGGTAATGGATCCGCTTGTGACTATCATCATGGCCCAAATCATATGAGGATCATATTGTTGAATCAGCAACAAGGCCAGGTAAACATATGCAGACACAAGGCAAGAAAAAATCACTGCTAGGGGAGGCATGAAATTGAAAAATAGGAAACTTTTCCAACTCTCTGTTCCATCCTTGAAATGTTTTACATGATCCTCAATCATGTTTCCAAACAAATTTGAAAGGAGAAGGGTTGGTAACTCAATCTTTCCCACTTGCTTACTGATGATTATTACTGCAAGACAACATAATGAGAAATTCAACAGTAATAGCTCCCAAGGAATAATTCTATATAGTGCTGTTTTTCTGAAATAGGTTTGCCACATGTAGCTGGGAGAAAGCATGGGATAACCAATAAAGGTCCATGGTTTGACTGGAAACACAAGATGCAGTGCAATGGAGCCATCGTCGACAGCTGTCGATGCAAACTTGTGCCATCCAATGCTTGAAAGTAAGGCCAATTGAGATTGAACGTTGAAATTGAAAGGAAGTCTATATACAGAGGAAGGAACTTTTTGTGCCAATTCTTCAAAATTGCCATTCAGGTTAATAGTACTACGCTCTTGTTGATGTTGTTTGTATCCCAGTGCCTGGGCTCGTAATGGCCATGCTGTACTGTTGATGTTGAAATCAAAGTATCGATTAATAAATCCTTGTTCTCCACCGTCATAGCTCTTGTATTCAGGTTGTCGTATTTTTTCAGTCATGTCTCGATATGTTTCCTCTTTGGGTTCCAAAACCATTAAACCACCGTTGAAAAATTCTGGAATGCACAAATCGCTCACTGCACAAAAGTGACCACATTGAAATAGAGTATCGATTTGTGGCTTCAGAACGATGACATCTGCATCAAAGTAAATGATTCTTTTAAAATTAAATTCATCCAATTTCCACATGTGAAGCTTGTTGAAGGTGTCAATGTAACGATTTTCAACGTTATTGGCAATTGCGTGTTTTCCCTCCGTTGGATTGGAGATGTAGGAGGCGATCACAAATCGCATACGAGAAAGTTCTTCCGGCCTTAACGATTGTTGAATGTCGGTAATTACCGAGAGAGTCCTTTTTACAACGACGCTCTCAGTCAATCCCTTTGCATCATTAATTCGTGGAGGTACAACCACCACAACGAAGGGATAATTTGTTTTTGTGTTCGAAATGACACTCTGAAATAATGTGACAACTCCTACTGTATAGTCAAAGGCCACTTTTTCATTGCTGGCCACTGACAAGAATGTTGAAAATGCAAAGGTTGAGTTTGTGGGATTCACCATGTCGGCTCTATTAAAGGCATCTTTCAATTGGGAAAGGGTATTTACAGAATTTTGAAGGTTCGTCGTGAAAATTTGTGTTGACCTTTGGTCGCTGTTGTTGTTGATGGGATGCAAACTCTTGTTGTTGATATTCATCAATGTAAGGACGCCTGTCACTACAATAATGAGAAGCATTATAAAAACCACGAACGGAGCATTCATGTCGGGTCGCATAATCCTTTTATAAACTTCACGACTGTTGGACACGAAGGTTGAGAGCGACGGTGGTGTTTGGAAGGAAGAAGTGTTGGAATATGTGGTTGTTGTGCCCAATAGTTTGCTTTCATAGTGATCATCATCATCTTCAAATATTTCACAGCAAGACTCGCCATGACGATCCATACTTTCCTCGGAAGACGTTCTCTCGCCATTGTGAAACCGAGAATTTTTTAGTGGATCATCATTCTCAGAGCTGCCACTACTACTACCATTAAAACTCTCATTCCTGTTGAGTATTGGTGCTATCCTTTCTTTTTTAGGAACAATTTCAACGCTCATATGAGATGAGAACACGTTTCTCTTCGGCGACAATGACGGAGATGCTGTTGATGAAATAGTTGATGAGCCGCCATTACTAAAAAGTTCTGTAGCTGTTGTTTCCTTCTCATCATTACCACTCACAGAAAGGCTTGCAAAATCCTCCTCGTCATTCATAACAAGCCTCAGAGGATCACTCCGAGGTGATAACGAACGGTGGTGGGTAGCCGACATAGCTCTCGGATGATGAGCCAGATCAATACTACTCCCAGCATAGCCTTGATTGCCAGTTCTACTAGTAGTAGCATCCACAGCGTTTTTAAAATTAACCGTTCGAGTCGTGGTTAATGATAAATACTGCGGACACGACGAGGACATTTTTTTTTCTTGTTTTAAAAAGGCTAGCGTTCCTTCAACGTTCGAATTGTGAGACAATTTGAAAATTCATGAATTCGAATGTTGTGAATTTGTGTAAACCATGTCAGTACTCAAGTGTCAAGTTCATGAGAACGAAGTTATGACATGCAATTCACAAAGTCTCATCTGAAGAGTGAGAATGTTTTTTCTGAAGACCATTTACATGTTGTTTCCACACATTCTTTCAAAACTATTCTGCACCAAGTTGGAACACGTGATCGGTGAGGAACGGGAATCCAATCAAATTGTTTTGACATCATCCGCGAGATCATTTCTTGTTGCTTCAAGTTTTAAAAAAATGAAGAAAATAGTTTCGACAATTCCCCGTTGGGCTTTCCCTCTCGGCATGTGCTGTTTTCTTTTTGAATCAGAAATGGAAAAACAACGAATCTTGTGGATGAATTCCTATCTCGGATTTAATAGAGAAGAGCAAGAAATGTTGAACAAGATGGATTTTAGAGCCTTTGATACACGAAGGCTTGATCGGGAAATTTTGGAACAAGTATCTCGTGATGTCAGGGAAAGATTTCAACAACAGGAGGGGCAAGTGCATGTAGGACATAGTGCTCCTAGAAGTTTGATGCTTGCAATGGGAACGTTGGCATTTCCTCTTGTCGTGTGTTTAACCCCGTTTCATACTCTGACCTATCCTGTGAGTGCATTGTTTGATCATTTAATGAGTAAAACAAGGACTGAAGCAAACGATGACATGATGACTACGGAGAGTATTAAGAGTGATTTTAATAACCACCGCAAGCATGATTTAAATGATGATACACACGATGAAATTGTCCATCACTCAGACATGACCTTTGGAGAGCATGTTATGAATTATCTATCATTTATGGGACAATTGTATAAGGAAATTTCTCGAGTTCCTCAATCTTTTTGTGAAAGAGTTGTCGAAAATTGGAAAATTTCTTCCAAAGAATGGAAAGAGCGAGAAAATTACTCGTTTTTGAGACTGGCCGTTACTAATGGCATGGATATTTTCACACAGGAAGAATTGAATTCTATTAACACACTAATCGGGGATGCTGAATTTTATGACAACCTTCAAAAATATTGCACTCGTTACGAATCATCATCTGCTTCAATCTTTCATGCAAGAAGAAGTACAACCTTTGGACACGAGTACAAATGGTGGGCAAGTCTCGCGTTGGCTAAGAGCGCACTAGTTTGGTATTGCAACAATGACCATGAGCAAATTAAAAATTACAGTGACGATGAACGCCAACGAGAACAGAAGAGAAGAGCTCAATTCGCACTCGAAAACTTGCAAAAAGCTCAATTATTAATTAAGGATTTAATTGAAAGTTCACAGACACACAATGAAAATATAACAGAGCTCGAACGAATGGATACTCTGCTGGAGCAAAATATTGAAATTGTAAAAAATCATTTGGAAAGAGCACATCATCATCAGCAACAACAGGCATCTTCATAGCCTCTACTGGTAATATTATCACTCTACTCCTAGACTACCTGTTAATTTTATCTTAGAAATAGGTCTGGCATGCCATTTACAAGAATTTGTTACAAAACCAACGACTCCCATTCCATGTGGCAATCTTCTTCATCAAGCATGGTGATTAATTTGTTGAACAACGAACGACAATCATACCACTAGGATGTGAAAACGTTCACTTCTTAAAATGTCTATTTTACATTTTAATAGTCATTTCCAAAAACGCTTTCACAAGCACAACTATCCTCTCGAAAACAAATGGAAAGAAACCAAACGGACTCAACCACTTCCAATGATCCATACAACACCACAGCAACCACAACCCTACGTCCAGCACAACAACAGTTGGAATCTACCTCAACAGAAAGACCATTATTGAAACCGCAACCTCATGGATCATCACTTACTGAGTGGAATTATTCAACAATGTTGACGCCAGGTGAGGCCTCTGTATCATCGCCAGCGTCACTATTACATAATAACAATATTGAAACTACCATTTCACAACCACCACGAGATGATAAAGGTATTCCACTCGATCATCATCATCAACAACAACGAGCAACATCTTTGAACTTTATTGAAACTATCAGTCCTTCTTCTATTCAATATTCTAGTCCAGCTATTTTTGATAAAGGCCAGGGACCATCGAAAACATGGAGCGGCGCAGGATTTCAACAAGCATCAACATCTTCATCCTCCTCGACCATACCTCTTGTCACGACTGGAACACCACAATTTTATGGAGACAGTTCTGAGAAGAGAATTGATTCCCTTCAATTAGTGCCATTCGAAGCAGATCATGAAATGGAAGAAGTTGATATTCACACCACAGAAGAGGATACTTCTACATTGCAAACATTGAGAAGACGATCGTCTTTACTTGCTCGGCCTTCAAAACATGTGAAATTATATTTTGGACTTGCCATTGCTGTGGCCATGTTGGTATGGATGGTCCCATGTTTGTCACTTCTTCCCTTACTTGCCTTTTACGGATACTTTAAGAATTCACACAACCCAAGAGAAAGAAAATTTGCTAGGTTTTCAAAGAAAGCAATTTATTTCCTCATTCTGTTTGATGTCATCATGTTCATTGTGCTATTCGTAAGTGTGATCATTTATGTTCTTGCAAAGGAAAGAAACAAACCCAATTTCAATTTGTACCAATAAATATTCTATTTCGATCCGCGGAGTAAGGAGTATCATTTAAGGTATCATTAAGATTCCTTAACATCACGAATAGTACCAAAGTAAATAGATACCAAAGTTCCGAATGAAACTCAAGCCTTACCACTCATCTATAAAAACCGCCAAAAGAAATCTTTAAAAATGCCTCCACAATCAAGACTTTCATCATCCTCTGAAAAACGGACTACAGAGTTACAAGGTTGTACGGGTCTAACCTTCAACATTAGAACTGCTGAAAACATGAATAACTCTCATCCTAATAAGAAGGAAATTTCCACCCCCATCAACAAGAAAAAAAGAAAGAGGAGCATGAAAAAACAGAAATTGTTATCGGAGGTTTGTTTTGCAAAAGAGGAAAATTCTACACCAAAGAAATCCAAAAGCATGTAAGCATGTCTTTTCTAATTCTGAACATGATCATGTTCTTTCTATGATCACCACCACCTTTGAACAAGATTGGAAAACAAGACATTAGAAGAATGTTTCTCATTAAATATCAAACAGACCACTTTTATCAATAACTCGACACATGGTTTGGAGAAGCAATCCAAAGACATTGATATTTTGGGGTTTGAGTATACTTTCACTCCTGAAGAATATGACGGAACGCCATATGATGGAAAGACTGTGAGTAGAGGGGTGTTGAGAAGAAAATCTTTACAAGAAAACGACTCTTTGCAGGTCTATTGGAAAACATGTCGCGCGTGGGAATGGAGAAAAACATCGACCGTCATGAGCAAGATGAGAACATTGTATGTGGTTTGTGGACCAGACAATAGTTTGATCAGTGTTGCAGGTATTGGCTTGCCCAAAATAATTCGTTGTGGAATGAAAGGGAAGGAAGTTCAACGCATGATTTGTGACATTCTATGCCAAATGGTGATATTAGAATCGAAGAACATGATTCATAACGATGTGAAACCTCAAAATATTGTCAAGTATGACAATCATTACTATTTGATCGATTTTGAAATATCTGAAACCTTCGACGAATGTATTGAAACTGATGCTCGTTATGAATGCAAACGCAACGGTAAAGAGCTGACCTGTAAATCCTATTCTAAAGGTTATCGTGCACCAGAAAGAGATAACGAACACAAAATCTCTCCTAAAAGCGATGTCTATTCTTTGGGACTTGTTATTTTAGAATGCTTTAGGTTGAGCCAAGAAGACTGTTGCAACAAATCGAAGATTGAAGAATGTTTGCAAGAACAAGAAGAATCATCTCGAACATTGAAAGAATTTATTGATTCATCGTTGAAAGAAATGCCTAACGAACGATTAGCTCCAAAACAATTACTTCGTAAGCTTTTTTCAGTGGACAAAACAAAAGAAACATTAAGGTATTTTGCTGATAAAGAGGGTGTGCTGAGAGAACATTTTCCAGCAAAAGAAGAGAGGACATTGTATGAAGATATTTTCTTGAACTGAAGTGATTCAAGATAACAAACACTTGAGCTTAATAACAAAATCGATCTTGTCATTTAATTTACGGGTGAAAGTATGTGCACACAACTTGATTACTCATCGTCATCACTGTGACTAGTTTCGTTAACAAACACCAATTTCACAGCAACCACATGATCCTCACTCTTCTTAAACAAACAAGCATAACATCCATCTCCATAACCACTCGAAGAAATAATACCATAAGGTACAGGAATACTACTTGGATAGCCTCTTTGCTCCATTACCTTACTCACATATTCTTGCCATTCCGATTGAAAACTAAATTTAAAATTAAGATCAAGAGCCGAAGGTTTTTGTTTCTTTTCAAGTTCCAATGTGGAGGCATCGTTGAAATATTGTTGATCATAAATTCCAGCCATTGCAACATCGACACCAACTCCCAATTTCATGACATACCATCCTCCTTCCAATTCTTGTTCATGAAATTCAGTCTTTTCAATTTTTCTAGAACGATCGAGTGTGTGACCATAAGTGCCTTCTGGAACGATCCAAATTTTAGGATCTTGCAACAAGTGTTTGTAATCACCATGAACCGCAACGAGCTGAGCCACATTGCCTGTACCTGAATATTCTTTCGAATCACAGCCATATTGAGCCCATTTCCACAATCCAGGTTTCACATTTTGGACAATAACTCCACCAGTGTCTGAGAAGGGATCACACACACGAATTTGTGTACTCTGTACTTGGAATAATTGTTCCAACGCAAGTTTTTCAAAGAGTTTAGGTTTTTGTTCTGTTACTGCGTGAGAGTGAGGTGGAACTACTCTCTCCAATTTGTGTGATTTGAGATTTGGGTGAAAGAATACCAATAAAGGTCTTTGAATTCTTCTTTGAAAAGGTATCGCAAGTTTCATCGGTCATTACGTTGGTGTCACGTTTCTTCACTAATTCATTCAAATCGATCGTGGTTGTAGAACTACATCCACCATTAATACTTGCAACGTTAATGACTCCACTTGATTGTTTCCCATCCTTCATGTCCAAAATAAAATAACGATATTCTAAACGATCTGCGAACCATGACGTGGTATGCATGATTGGAGCTCCGAGATAGGATGCAAAATCTTTAGGTTCAAGTTCCACATATGATTCACTAATAATGTCTCCCAACTTGTCTTGACATTCTTTACAGCTGTTGTCATTGGTTATGAAAATTTGATGAAAAAAATGGTTTAAACCACACATTATTTTGTGTGAACACATTTGTAGAGTTATTATGTACAACCTACCCAATTCCTGCAATAATTTCCATGTCGTTATATCTATTCTCAGCACACTGGTAAGCAATGGATATTCTTGGTTGTTGACGATGAAGTTTGGAAGGGTTCACAATTTCTAATAATTTGGAGTTTTGTACACGAGGTACATAACAAGAGAATTCCAAATCTTTCAAAGCAGATTCTTCATCGAATAGCTCACTCACAAGTTTGAATTCCAATTGTAATAAATCTTGCAAAGAGAGTACCTTTTCAAACATTTGTGGTGATTGGTTGTTGAATTGGGCAACACATTCCGATTCTTCACACCAAAACACATCACCATTGAGCTTTCTGTTCAAGACAGAAATCTTTCCTTTTGCCTTAGAAAATGGTTCATCATTGCAAATTTTTTCTTGAGGCCTGAAAAATATGGTACTTTGATTCGAACCAAGCAAGAGTCCAACATTGCCAATTCTTGTCACACTATCAAAATCATTGTTCAACCATTCCAAATGTTGAACGACTTTCAAGCTGCTACATTCAGCATCACTCCAAACGAATTCGTATAATTTACCTTCCTGGAAGAAAAAACTTCTCAATCGTTGACCATTCTCAATTAAAGGAATAAAACGTGGATATCGTCCAAAGCTACCTCTAGAAAAGGAGAAATTTTTCGAAAGGGTTTCATCGACAAGTGGAATTGATGGATGACTCGTAACAAATCCATCTTCCTTCAATGAATATCTGTAAACTGAACCACCAAAGTAAATTCCACTAAAGGAGTACTCTCTATGTGCAATGTTAGAGCTTGGCAATACCATCATGATATTTGTACAGTCCCTGAATTGTGTTGTTGCTGCAGCAGAATTGTTTTGAGTAAATATTTGCACTGGCTCTAGAACTAAACTTGTGGTTGAGCAATCATCACCTTCCTTATCAATAGCAATACTTTCATCACGATCGTCAAGTATTTTCTCAAGATCTGGAAGCGTATTCACACCAAGAGAGGACATGAAGAGAGCTCTCCCATTCACAAAGCCAACCGCATTATTATTGGATCTATTTCGATACTTTTCAACATGTTGGCTCATTTCACCTTGCAAAGTCCAGTTCGTAATCATTGCATGCTCGTTACATGTACAATGAGAACTGATCAAGCATCCAACCAGACCAACGGCTCTGATTTTTCTGGCATCATCCTTCTTCTCCAAATTGGATGAGCTGGAGTTGACTGAATTCAATTCAACAACACTTGAATTATTTTTCTGATTCAATAACCATGCCAATTCCCAATCCAATTTTACTTCACTCAAACGTGCTTCTTTCCGATTCTTATCGGACAATTGAGAAAGATCATCCACACGAAAGACTTCTTTGCACTGAATGTGTTGAAGATTTGAAATTTCATAGATCAAGAAATTTTGACTCTCTTTTTGGCCATTATGTGGATCATCGTTCCAAGAGCCTTCTACAAACACAAAGGTCTGATGGAAGGGTTGAATCTCTGGTTGTCCCAAACATCGGAACTGATACGAAGGAGATGAAATCATTGAATTTTTTTTTGATGAAGACCGTTCGAGCGACTTTGCAGAAAAGAAATAGGGCAAAAATTCTTGAAAAAAATGGATCTGCTGTTCGTTGCGTGTTCAGATCGTCCGTCCTTAGTTAATGTTTCACTTAATACTAAAACAGGAGGTGGAATTAATTATTGGCTAACACTGCTTTAAGACCTGTCAAGTTAAAGCCGCCATACACGTTATTCTTTCTTTGGAATTCCTTCTTCTGAAGAAACATCTGTTGTACTCGTTAACTTTTGCTAGATTTCAAAGCAGACAAGAAAAAACCCAAAGCTGGAGTTTGACAATTTAAACATTCAACAAAAACGCCAAAAAATTAAAAGAAAAAAAACCGTTACAAAAATATTGTGCACACACAAGTTCTCGGACAGGCACATCATTGCATTCATCATCAAGAAAATTTAAGAGTTAAAAAGTTAACAAACACAAAGAACATACAACCAATTCAATATATTATATATTAACAATCATCATGGAATTTGGAGAAGACCAATCATTGAATACGGAAGACCATGGCTTGTTTGAGGCAATACGACCCGAATCGCCATCGGCAATGTGGTACTCCTCCGATGATAATGCAACAGGACAACTCTTTCATCCATTGAATGCAACCAGAAATCCTTTTGAGTCTACTCAACAAGTGTTAGAGGATGTAGTCATGACCGATAGTAATGGCTTTTCAAACCCACTACCACATCCTTCTACATCAAGCCAACACGATGATAAGCAATCACCACAACTACAACAACAAACAGCAGTGTTGGAAACAGGCGTTCAAAGCTATCCCGAAGAACTGTCTGCATTACATGTAACCAATTTACAAGAATTACAACCTATTGGTAAAATTACGAATATTGTGGACAAGAGAGTAATTATTGAAGTATTCGTGGATAAGAAGAATGGCACCGCTACACAACATCTTGTTTCTCAAAACGACGTGAATCTTAAGGAGAACAAAATAATTGATAGCGAGCTTTTGAGGACACAGATAAAGCTTAATATTGGCGCTGTTTTGTTTTCCAAAGACGGAAAAGCAATAGGAAAAATTGCTGAGATCATTGGAAATGTGTATGCCCCATATTTTGTATTGGTTTATCCTGATGTGCAAACTTTGAGAACAGTGTTCAATTTACCAAATCCTTCACTAGTTCATGCAAGTCAAAACACGGAATCTGGTGTTAAGGAATCATTGACAACCTCAACACCACGAAAGGAAGACGTTGAAGCAACTACACCAACAAAGAAAACACCATCACGAAGGACACCACACAAAGCTCAAACTCCCAAGAAAACTCCATCAAAACAATTTGTAGAAGACGATCTAGACTTGGAAAATGCTCACAATATGACGATCATTGAGCTTAAACCATATTTACAAAAACGAGGACTCACTGTCTATGGTAAAAAAAAAGAATTGATTGCCAGACTTCGTAAATATGAAAGAGAAAAGAAACAGCAACAAGAAGAGGAAGCAAATGATTTATCTTCAGATGAAGACGATATGAGTAGCACTTCTAGTAGTGACGACGAAGAGCTTCTTCCAACTCCAGCAAAAACAACCACCCCAACAAGCTCTCAAAAATTTGCTCTCAGAACAAAGAAGGACTTGGAAGGAATGGAAAGCGACGAAGAAGAGGATGAATTCCACAAGAAACGTGCCACTCATGACAAACCTAGTTCCCCATTGGACAAACTCTCGCCAGATGAAATTTCTCAAATCAAAACCAATTTCGATGTCATTTATTGTCACAATGTCATTAGTGCACCATTGGATGAGGCCAGCACCATGAACATTGTTTCCAATCACCAAAAATCCTATGATGCAATGCTTAATGCAGACGAAAAGACTGAGATTGTCACATTTTCCGACGATGAAGATGAGAATGCTTTCAAGAATAGAGCCAAAAAGGAACGTCCAGAGAAACCACCTGTTGTCAAGAGGGGTCACGAGCAAGTATCCACAGATGAAACTACAACAGATGTACATCCAAAAAAGCAAAAACCTCTTCCATTCGTCGACATGGAAGAAGCCACCACTGTCACCACAACTTCCATCATTGTTACAACAACTAGTACTACTACTTCGTCTACAACGAGCGAGGAAATTATTCCATCCTCTGCAACACCTTCTCGAGAAGCAGAAACATCCGTACAAGTTGTTGAAGTGCCTCCCTCCTCCACTACAGATCCAACCAGAGTTCCAATTGTTAGAAAAGCAAGAAGATCTGCTCCAAGAAAGTCATCCCATTCACTCTCGAGTCCCAATCGTTCTGTGGACACTGTGTCAACGACACAAGCTGAACAAGAATCCTTCTTTTCGAAATGGTGTTCCATCATGTAATATCCTAAACCGACCTATTTGAATTGTGCACACCATGTATGCATACAATCCCGAGTATGCATATGACAACAACCTAAACCACCTAAGATTATCATTTCCAATTTAATACACAATAATAATATACTATTTAATATGAATTGATTTTGAAATATCCTCAAGAGACAAATTTGCCGCCCAAACTCAGTACAACAACAACAACAAGTCTGCAAAAAAAATATTCCATCATCGACGATCGCACCGCCATCACCATCATGAGCGAACAACAACAGCAGTCAGAGTTTGATGAAGAGACCCGAAAGTGTATTGAGATTTCAAAGAAAAAGTTGGAACCGTTGGTTTCAAAAATTCCTCTTCAGGACAAACACTTGGCAAGACCTCCGGTTGCCTTTATTAAAGCTCTTGTTCTTTGTCTGATCAAGGAACGAGGGTATCCCGATGGATTGTTTGATGAGGAATTTCTTAAAGCCAAGAAGGACTTAACGGTAGGTTGTAGATAGCGAACGAATCGCAATGGTATTCACCAATTCCTAATGATCAACGTGTTTGTATATAGAACGAAGAAAAAACGCTATTCTTAAAGCAATTAATCAATGTAATTGTCCACACTGTTAAGAAAAATGTTCCTGTAAATATACAACTCATGATTAAGGGCAAAGAAACGCCAAAGAATATTTCTGTGTTTTTCCAAGCGCTGGCTGAAGCAGCTGGAAATAAGGAAAAATATCAATACAAGGAGGCCATTGAAAAAATCAAATCTGGAAAGTATAAGGATTTTACTGAGGCCTCGGATGACAAGAAAAAAAAGGAGGCTGCTGGTCAGCAACAAAACACAAGCACACCACCCTCAAGTACACAATCAGATTCTTCGGGAGCCGCCACCACAAACAAACAACCACAAAAATCCACCACATCGTCACAACAACCTCAACAACCTCCCCCACAGCAACAGCAACCAAAGCAACCTTCTCCATCAAACACCCCAACCAATGTAGAATCAAAACCTCAACAGCAACAGGGATCATCGAACTCTCCATCCTTGAATCAAGATCAAGGACGACCATCGTCGAGAGGTGTCTCTGCATCTCAAAACGTAACGAACAAGCCACCCACTCCATCGAAAGAAGAGCGATCGACGACCCCTAATTCCATTGAGCAAAAAGCCAGCATCAGCCGACCAAACTCTGGCAGGGAGATTTCAAAACCTTCCACTCCAAACACAACTGCTCAAGAGGATCAGCAACAGCCTCTTAACAATCAAGAAGATCCTAATTTGGCACAATATTCTAGGCCTTTCTCATCTCGAGGTCAATCAGCGAGAAGAGCGCCTCCAAAAATTAAAACCAATGTTCGAACCATTGATACACAAGAAATGCCTACAGAAAAAACTCAAGTGGAAACAAAAGCGGCGGAAGGTTTGATTACAGACGATACTGAAGACAAGGAAGAAGAACAAATAATTATTGAGAAGAATGTAGCTGTTCGATCCGCCCCTCAAAACAACACTAATGCAGAACAAAAAGGAACTCTAGTTAACAGGCTAATGGAAAACGAAAGTGACATTGAAAAGAAGCGAAATGCAGGAAAAACGCCAAATGCCAAACCCTCGTCTGAGGAACCAGTGAAGGGAATTGTTCTTCAAACAGGTAAAAAAGAAAAAGATAAGGAAGTATTAACTACTGAACTCTCAACTCTAAGGGAACAAATTCAAACTCTAATTTCTAAAGTGAATCCACTTGGTAAAACCATGGATTACATCCAAGAAGATCTTGACAGCATGCAACGAGAACATGACATGTGGAGGAAGGATGTAGAACTCCAACGACAACGGCTGATCGAAGAGAGGATGAAAACTGAGCAAGAAGTGTCCTCCGTGCAAGCACAACTAAAAGAATTGGAACAAAATATTGTGGACAAGTTGGAGAAAATTAATTCTTTGAAGAGTACGATTTTACAAAATGACAAGCTGTTGGAAACATTATTAAGGAACGTTGTGGCATGAACATTCTCGTCTATAAATTATATACTAATCTGACCAAGTTCTTCATGTTTGATTTTGTTGTCGTTGTTGGACGCTCTTTGTTTAGGATATGAATATCGCTCACTAACCATTATTGATATAAATTATAAATTATTTAATTTTCTTTAAATGATCAGTAGTACACTTTCACATGAATTGAATTTGTACGTCCTGCAATTCACTAGTGCTTCCTTCCGCTGACAACTTGGAAAATTTGAATAACTTGGACATAAATTCCTTCACTCGTTTGCTCTCACCTTCATCTTGACGATACATTAACGAATAATAGCCTCCACTCGCTATGGCATTAACGGTACGATATAACGGATCGTTTGTTATTAAGGGTGACAATATATTCTTGCTGCCTCTCGTATCGACATCAATTCCACAAATATAAACTTCATTCGTGATTGACAAGGCACAAGTATGATAAAAACCACAGCAAATATCCTTAAAATGAACATCGAGTGGCACTCGAATAAGAACAGACGCACTTGCATGATGTCCCAAAGAACATTCACCGTTATCATTATGGCCAACCGTATAAATAGAGCCAGATTGTGTCAAGACGACTGTGTGATGAATTCCAAGAGCCACTTTTTGACCCTTCTCATTATTTGGTAATGGTGCTTGGATAAATTGATAGGAACCGGCACAGGAATGTCCCAATTTGTTGTAATCGTTTTGTCCAGAGGTCATAACTTCTCCATCTAAATTAATAATAGCTCCATGTGAATATGAAAAATCAGCTTCCAAAATATTGGTTGCAATCTTTTCAAATCGATAAACACTTCCATGTTTACCCATCTCTCCACTAGAATTTCCTCCACAAGCATACAAGGTTCGATCTCTTGTAATAAATGCACACGTATTATATCTTAAAAAGAATTTTTCAATACTATACAAATGATCTCGTGAGACCAGTGACACATCTGCCTCTTGTCCAAATCTCGATATTGAAGATGTATCTCCAACAGACAATTGACCATGGTTGTTAAAGCCCGATCCGAAAAAGGCCAACCTCTTTTGATTCGGTAATCCCAATTCTTGTGTCTGTTCTTCAAATTCTACCATTAACATGGAATGATTCCAACCACAACCAATTTGCTTAATATCCATTCCAACCACTGAACTCGGTTGTTTTTGAAGAATTTGTTTCTTGGCCATTTCAGTCACATCTCGTAACTGAGAAGTGGATTGAGTACCATCTTGTGGAACACCATGTTCACCTGTACCAGTATAACCACAAGCAAATAAACGGTTTTCTCCTTTGCAATGATCCCGAAAGAGAAAGAAGGCAAAATCACCTCCCGTACTCACCTGGACCAATGAAAAGTGATGAGGAATTTGAGAATTTTGGAGGGCAATTAAATAATTTTCATCTTGATCATCATTGGATGATGATGATGATGAACTGGTCGGAATGGAATTGGTTGATGATTTTGGAAGGAGATTGGCATTTTCAAAAGCCTTTAAAAAGGAAATTAATCGTGGTTGTTTTATGGGTCCTGTTGTTGGACTAAGAATGCTGTGTGTATTGTTGCCACAACCATAGACGACAATATTGGTATGAATCGAGGACATTTTTTTAAAACTCCAAGTTCACTGCGTTGTAATCATGTTGAATGATCAAAGTGTCTCAGAATGATTGTTGTGATCTTTTCTTAATTATTCTAGAGAACTACATGATGAATATTGGTATGATGCAGAAATTGTTGAAAGATGAGTTTCTTTTGAGGGTCCTTGAGTGTGTTGCCAACGAAGGCGACCTTTTTCAATACAGATCTTCTTCCAATTCTCTTTAAGAAATTCTCCAAACCAGCAAATGTAATTTGATTGCCCTCGAAATTGATAATTTCAATATGCTTGTTGGCACGCAAATGAGGAATGAGTTGATCTAGGTTCTTGTCATTAATTCGCATTTGTCGCAAATCCAACACTCGTAATTTCAATTCCCGGAAAACATGAGAAACATCGGCAAAATTCTTTACAAAATTTCTTCCAATATAAAGTTCCTTAATGGAATTATTCTTGGAAACGGCTTCGAAAATGTCAATGACTCCTTTTGTGGCTATTTTACAACTTGTGACATCAAGTAGGAATAGAGTAGGAACTGCAGATATAGCTTGACAAAATGTAGCAGAAATTTCAAACGTTTTGATTGCTGTAACCGGATTTCCAGCAAGCGATAATACAGTCAATGTCTTGTTCTCGATCAGGTATTTGGAAATAATGTCCAAGGAATGTTGAAAAATTTGATTGTCGGAAATGTCGAGTTGTTTTAACATTTTGCATACCGATAAAAAGTACCATGCTTCATCTTCTTCCTCAGGTGTCATTCCCTTGGTTATAGTATTCATGGAAATATCAAGTCGTTCAACTGAGGGGTGATTTCTCAGCAGACGTCCAATGCTATAAAACACTTTGCCCTCAATGCCAGCATTTGAAATTGTGACATCTTTCAAAGTACTTGTCACTCGAATGAACTCAATGATATATTCTCCTCCTTTTTCTCCTAATTTGATACCACTTACATTGAGTGTGGACACAAAGAGATTGGTTTCTAATGTTTTGAAAAAAGTCATGACCATGGTATCCTTTTTCGTGACTGCAATTTCATTCAGTGACATGTTTAAATGTTTCAACTTGACCGTTTCCAAGAACGAAGTGACATGCTCAAGAGCATTATTGGTGATATGGTTTTTGGAAAGGTTCAATTTTTGAAGCTGTTTGCATTTGCACAAAGCCATAAGAATGGTTTGCATGGACTTGTCTTTGAGTCCACACTTGGCAATCTCTAATTCTTGAAGGTTTGTCAACTGTAACAAGAATGATGACAATATCTTTGTTGAACAAAATGTTGTTAACACTCGGCAAAAGAGTAACGTATGAGATACTTACATTTGAGTGTTCATTCAAAGGGACTACAGAGAGATTGAGGTATTTCAAATATCGAAAGTAGGTCAATACATGAAGTAATCTGGGCACTTCTATCTTGATCTCATTGTAACCAAAATCAAAACTTTCAAGAGTAAAATTTTCTTTCCAAGAAAAGTTGATATTGGGTTGATAAATCAAGCACGTTTCAATGGGATCTAAATAATAGGCCAAAATTTTGTCATGAATTTTTAAGGCTCGCAAACTAAGTGATGTCAATGTAGTGTCATCATCGAGAGCATTATCGAGCTGACGACAATACACTGGATTGGGAACGAGCTTTGCCCTTGCACACATTTCGCAATAATATCCCATTAAATACTCAATTCTGCTTGAAACTTTTGCCAAGAATATTCTGTTCAAAGGTTTTTGATATAGAGAGGCCAATGGATTTGGTTGAACTTGCACTTGACATGTCCTCATATCTTCAGGTAAGAGGGAATAATAATCTTGAATAAGAAACAAGATTGCTCCATGTTTCATTTTCGAAGTAATAATAGAGATTTTTTCATTGTCATTTCCAACTCGCTCCAATTCAATCTTGTATTTTCCCTCGTTTGTCATGGATGTTGTCCATGTTTTAATTTTTCTCCATCTCCAACAATCAGGCTTCTGCAAAAGATCAATTCGACCATGTTGTTGAGTGTTAAAAACTCACAAGGGTTGCTTGAAGTTTTCCAACTTACAGGTGACAGATTTGAAAAGAAGAAAATACCATCCTCTGCGATTCCCATTAATTGTTTAGGTCCAACTTCATGTTCCACATAAAAGTATTTCATTCCAAAATGTGATGTCTTACTAGCCTCCTCCAAGTACTTGTATATAGCATCTCTTGTTGAAAGGCCTTGATGCTGCTTGTGCACTCGGAAAAGTCTTTCCTGCCAGTAAGGATTATCGTGCTTTGCAACGGAAACGGGTAATAAAGTGTTAAGGGCAATTTTGCTAACAAAAAATCCATTAAGCGAACATGTCGATCTTGAACGGAAATCACTTACTTTAGAAATCCAATTTTATGCTTCTCTGGATTGTAATCGCCAAAATTTATCTGTAAAATCAATGATGCAAGATAGACTGCTTGTTTTTCTGTGCACTTGTAGAGCCTGTTGATGAAATTGAGATGGATTTGTTTCACCATAATACTCTCTGCCACAGAATCTTTCATATCCACCGGTCTCTTAATTGTTCGTAAAACAAATTTCAAGTTAGAGGATGTGGTAATATTTTCTTCCTGAATGGTTCGTTGTAAATTCACAAATCGTCCTATTTGTGCAATCAATAATACAAAGAAAATAATGTTAATATTCATCAAAAAAAATCATCATGAAAAACATACCCAGTGGCATGGATCCTTCGCTATCATAAACTTGCTCCAATAATCCAAAGAATTGCATTCCGAACTCATTCATCCCGATTTTGGATCGGAGCGTATCAAAAACATCAATGAGATCTGTATCCTTCTCAGCGACTATATTTACATTACCCACTCCAATAACTTCAATCGTAAGAAGCACTTGATCGGGAGCTAATTGTAGCCTCTCAACCAAAGTGTTCTTCTCGTTCTCACCATTCTTTCCAACTGCTTCCACACTGCTACGTCCATTTTTTTTCTGACTCTTTACCATCTCCTCCTTACGCTTACTTGCTTTTTTCGTTCCCGATGTTGTGGAGTTCGTCGGTGAAGCACTACGAACCGAGGATGAGGAAGGAGACTCGGCTCTTCTCATCCTTCCGCTCGGTGAGGAAGATTGAGGCGGTGAGTTCATTTTTTTTTCCTTACTCAATGACCCGCTTCTCATGGACCCGCAACCCTCTTCGCAAAGTTGACGCTTTTGCGTTAAAAAAACAACGCAAAAATTGCGCACCTGCAAAAAAAAAAATTTCGAAACAAAGCAAGGTTTATTTTTCATCACGGCTTCATTAAATATATTGATTTACGTTCTTGTGCATCGGAATGAAATAACTCTTCCCCTTTCTAGTAACAGTAACACAAGGAACCAGAGGCTCTTTGTTGGACACTTCAATCACAGACCTGTCTGACAAATTCTGCAAAGTCACTGTGGAATCCGTGAATGATTTGATTTTGAAGTATTTTGCAGGAGTACAAGAAGTATCAGCCACAACATCTCTCTCTTTCTTCAATACGAAATGACCACACACACATTCCGAAGGTTTGAGTTCACTTAAACCAAATATATCGCATAACTGCGCCATATCAAAAAACATAATAGAATACCTTGCAGAATTTGATGAAATGAACGGCTTGGTCAATGTGAAGTTTAGATTTTCCCCAACAAAGGCTGTATTATGTGCCAATGGACCATATAGGCTTGCATTTCGCACCATATCACTAGCTACATGGAAGTTCATTGTAGCCTTTGCAATACCTACCATCTCTTGATAATCCTCCAAAATACCTCTTAGTTCCTCATTAATTGAATTCAAATCAGCTATATTAATGGCATCTGTTAACTTGTCAATTACAACAACCATTCTCTTAATAATTTTATACTTCAACTCAATCATACTGAAATTCTTAACATCCTGAAGTAGATCTAGATAATAGTGAATAATCATATATATCTCCATTGCCTTAAGGTGTACTAAATTTTTGGAAACTGATCTCGGGTGTCTATGTAAGAACGAAGGAAATTTTTGCTTGAGATATTCCTTGTCGAACTCGTCCCAATATTGAAATGGAATCATCTCCATCATGTCACGCATAATTCCTTCATACAAGTTATGCATTGAATCATAGGAGCATATTGTAGTGGGAGTTGGTTTCCAACTCTGGTCTAATATTGGAGAATATCCACGAACACCCCATGACAACTCTTTTCCCGAAATATTATTCCAAAAATGTCGATCTCTCAAACCAAAAACAATTCGTTGATTACTAGAAATGTCTCTCCTAAGTGGATATCTAACTTGAGTAGTTCCTCCTGGTAACTGAACAGGTTCCCCTCGAATCTCGCATAAATGGCAAAAATAATACCCTGATTTTTGAAATAAGAGAATTTCAGACCTTGCAGGTAAGTCAGCAATTACTCTTTCTAATCTCAATGATATTTGTTTAAATTGATCATTGAACACATTCAAATCATCCATCATGATTTTCAAACACAAATTGATTTCTTCTTGAGATGGTTTGTTAGGAAATAGTAGCCACAAAAAGTTATTCTTGCGCTTCTTTCTTACATTTGGTTTCATCTCATTGAATGTGACAGAGAATTCGTAAAAGCTTTGCTGACTAGATTTAAACGGAGCAACACCGTCACCAAATAACGTCATAGTTTTTCCTCCTTCATCTACGAATTTTTTGTGAATGTTTTTGTAGATGTATCCGTCACAACGATCTTGGATAAGTTGGGGATCACGATTATCAAGTTTAAATTGATCCAAAAATTGTGGCTCTCTGAATATCCTTTCCTCGAATTGGAATTTTAATGGGCGTAAAAAGCAATGAGTTTTGATATCTTTCCATAATTTCCCACATTTAGGACAGGATTTTTGGTCTGGATTTTTTTGATACGTCTGACAATGAGTGCACATTGGAATTTTCTTTGTCTTTGAAGACAAAAGGAAATACTTATAGAACCCTGTTAATGTCAGCTTATCTGAAAGTTCTTGTTTATCACTCTCATGAATGAGTTGAATGGCTTCTCGAATTAGATTTAAAACCATTTTGAGACAATTTTCAGAGAGAGAACTTGTTACTGCAAACTTGAGAATTTTTTTCATCAACGTATCAACATTTACATTGACATTATCATTCACAACGCTTGAAAATGAATGGGAAGAGAGAACTTCTTCATCTAGTATGCCATCATCTCCATCACTCCAATATTCTCTGAAAAACTGTAACAGGTCGTCTTGTTCTGATTGTGCATTGGATGGATTATTTTCATTCGTCGGAGATGAATCATGAGAACCTGAACAGAGATTTTCCAGACCCTCTGCACTACAATTACATTGTTGATTTTCTACTGTATGGTTCTGAGAAGAGTAATTTATATCTATTCCACCAATATCTAACAAAGAATCATCATCAATGCAATGAGCAACAGTCTTACGAAACTTATTTACAGGCTCATAATTTGGCTCGTGATTGTATTTTGAATTGACAATTGAACTGGACCCTTCTACAGTTTGGCGCTTCAAACCAAATTGCTTCATTATTTACAACAACACAAAACAAGAACGTTGATTGTTTAACGATATAGATTCCATTAAGTGTCTCCAATTACGTATATTCGTCAAGAAATATCTATCGTTCCCAAATTTTCGATCCACTTGCAAATTGGACATTTAACGGTTGTAAAACAAGATTCAACATTACTCAAAAAAATGAAAAGAACAAAATCACACCCTGGCAAGAATGCAACAAAGAAAACCAAAGCAAACGATAGTACACTTTCAACACAAGACACTTCCTCCGATTTAGAGCAAATAATTTTATTCGAGGCCAAAAAGCCAAATGAAAAACAAGCTAAGTTAATTGCGAAACACTCTGAAAATGCTTTATGTAATAGTATTCCTCAACTTGAGAAATATTTAGACTTTTTGCAAAACATTCACAACAAGGATATTGACATTACAAACAAAGACTCTGTCTCTGCAACATACATTCTGATGAATCAATTTCTCAAACAAGGAGAAAAGGTTTTTGTTGGTATTCAAGCTGGTAATCCAGAACGCTTGCGACAGTCAATTTTGCAAACTTATAGCTCGGACAAAGATTTTTCGGAACGAATATGTGCTGCAGTCAAGGCTATCAGTGTAAGCCTTTTGAAACAAAAAGGTTTAATTGAATCCACATGCCCACCTGTGAGTTCAAATCTCAAAGTTGGAGATTTAGTTGAAATTATTGAAAAGGGAGAGAATTGTTACTACAAGATTGGTAAAGGAAGAGTTCAATTACTCACTTCAACTAATTGCAGTTTAAATGACATTATATTTCACGTTCCATCCTTCGTTCAAGATCAAAAGAAGACGATTTTTGATATTTCATGCCTTTCATTAATTGAAGATCGAACCAATCATGCTCCTATGATTCAAAATGCTTTTTCTACGGTTCAGCGAGGATGTACTCCAGTCTCCTTATTTTCCATGAATTATGACACTGAAGTCGATGATGACAAAATTGATGACAATGAAGTTCTCTCTATAACTCCACCGGAAATTTCGGATTCAAGAACAAACTCAAATTCAAATGTTGAAGAGAGTGATTTGTTCTGAACGTAGTGAAGGGCAGGAATGTTTCGATTGTAAACAATAAATGAGTTTGGTTGAGCATACTCAAAAATTTTTATGCTCAAAAAATTTTCTGCATACTCGAGCTTCGTCTCTCATTGCTTTGCTTAGTGACTTCCCACCCATCGCACTCCCACCCTTATCATGCTTTCTTAAGCTTTTCAAGTTCCTTTTTCGCTGATCCTTAATGTTCTTGTGGTAAGGAAGGACATTATGACAGTGCGGGACTGCCTTGTTCGAATCTTTTCGACAAGTAGTTGAATATTTATTTTTATAACCTTAATTTATTTTATTATTAATTTTACATTAATGTGACATTGTCACCACCTTTGACACCTGGTTTATTTATGATAATATGAGTTGATCACAATCCATCTCTTCCTCATCACTTCCTCCTTACTTCCTTGCGTTTCTCTGGTTTTCTCCTTTTTTTCCGCTGAGCGGTTTTTGGAGTTTTTTACCTTCTACACCCCTTTTCAAATGCTCGGGACTCTGCTCAATAAAGTCTAATGACAAAATATGCAGAAAATCCCTCAAACACCAATCCTTTTCCAAAGGATGGATGTTTGGCGAGTTACAAACCCATTAGTTTTCCTCCAATTAATTCCAAACTCTTGTTGTTTACATTATCGAAACATGATTCTCCTTTGCAAAATGAGCCCAAGTCTACGGAACCTACTGATTATAAGAATTTCGCTAGTGATATCTTTTTCCTTCAGCAAGTCAAAGACCTCAGAGAGAAAAACGAGGCCTTATCATTGGAAAACAAACAGCTAAAAGAATTAATCATCAAATTGAATAAGCCATTGAACGCATTAATTGCTCTTCAATTACAATACCCGAATATTCTTCCAAGCAAAACAATTTCTGTCACATATGGTGCTAATGTGAAACAAATACCCCCAAATTTGGTGTCCAGAATTATCAACAGCAACAAGACGGCTCGGCTTGGCATTGTTAGCAATTATTTGTTTGATAAGGATTATGTTCTTTTGAAAGATGATCAGAAAGATATTGTAATTGATTGCATTTTAGAATGTACTGAGGTGCCATTGGATAAGTGGAAAGCGGAACGAATATTATTGATGAATTTAAGTCGAACTTTAAAACACAACGCATCAAAGAAAGAGCATGAATCCAAAACCAAGAGCAAGCAGTCGTTGTAAAATCTTGAATTACACAAAAAATTTGTTTTAAAAAAATTCTCAAAAGCTTGTAGCAGCCTCCACGTTCAACAATCACATTCATTCATCAACAGATGCCGCTTGTTCATCTTATATGCTGCTAGAGCTTGCTTTGCGTAAGTGTACGTGTTTCATTGATACAGGTATGATCTCCAAATCATCCAAAGATATCGACACGTTTCATGTTTGCTCGAAATGGAGGACTGTCTTTGCTATCATTTGCCTTTTGTCTCTTATAAAGGACAAAGCTGGCTTTTATTGATAAAGTTTTCTATAAGCCAAGTTCTAACATCCAGATAATGAAGGGATATCTTGAGGTAGGGATTGAATTTAATGATAATCAATTGAGGATAGGGATGATAAGACTTCAAGTATATTTGATCCACAGTTGGTTGTTTGATTATTCGTACCCTCTTGTCCCACTATGCATTGAGAGTTAAAGGATTGTAGTTGCAACAATAACCAAACAACCGCTTTCTTAACATTTGTCAATGGTAGAACTGAAAAAGATGTTATATTATCGAGTTATGGAATTTCAAGCTGAATTTGCTTGGTATTATGAAGGATTATTTGTAGGTTGTTAATTATTATGGATTGATTAACAGAGCTTTCAATGCTTTAGAGTTTGATGTTTAAACATTTTAAGCCTGGAGTGTATTTAGATCATCGAGGCATTTGTTTGTCATGAATAGGGATTGGTTTGATTGATGTTAAAATATGACTTGTTGTGAATAATAATGTCAGTGCAATAGAGATATCAAAACAAATGACAAATTGATATATCATTTATATGAATTTGAAGTGTGTTTTGATTGAACTATTGATCACTATGATTATTATGCCGCAACTGAAAAATATTTTAACTGAATGCAAAACCAACATCATGATAAACAAATGAAAAGATGATATGAAATACAAGTATTGAATTAGATGATATTTCAACCCGATAGCTTAAATTATTCAAAAGTAAGTAATGTCAATCCAATTCATCTTTCATTTACCATTTATATTCATTAAATTGGCTACTTTAGCTTTGTTGTTGGATATAAATTAGAGAATTTGGATGAATGAATGTGAGGAAAATGGATAAATATACAAGATTTGAAGATTTGGAGTGGTTTGAAGAGATTGAATTAGTGAACGATTGGTTGAGCGAGAATGAAAGAGAAATTTGAGAAATAAGGAGCGTTAATTTTTCGTCAATTATTTTTATTATGAAACATCATAATAATTGACGTTAATTTGACGCGTGAATAATGAAATCGTTAATGTGGAAAATTAACGCTTTTTATTGACGTTTTTTCGTCAATAATTAACGCTTTTCAAGCGAGAATAAAATTTTTTTCGTTAACTTTTTGATTGTAATTTTTGACGAAAAAACGTTAAAAATTAACGTCAACCGCGAGTAGCGGGGATAAGGCTAACTTTTTCATCATAAAATCTTTTCAGAACGCACTTAGGATAATACATCTGCCACTAAAAAGAGAAAAATCTCTCCCTCTGTATGAATAAATTGCCAAGAGCGAATATTTGAAGAATAGACTTTGTTGAATCAGAGATGAATCAACTTGGAAATGAATGTGTTGAATATTTGCCAATCATTAATGGAATCCGTTTCCCACTTGGTTGACATTGACATTAAGATTAGTTTTTTTCAAAACGAAACTTGGAACACACTTACAGGCAGATGTTCTTTAAAAAAAAATGAAACAATTTCTCAAGCAAATTATTGCACCATCCTCTCCGATACGAGTTCATCTCTCCTCGCAAAGCAATGATCAAGACCTATTGGGTTCTCTCCCACTTGAAGTGTTATATCATATCTTTCATTACATGACTCCGATGGATTTTGTAAAGATTGAAATGCTAAATTCATTTTATTATGGCCTCGGAAATAGTAACGGAATGATAAACAAGATCTGGAAGGAGTATTATGAAAACTTTTGTTATATTAATTTATTTGATTATAAACGAAGCAAGATAGTGTCAAGTGTCAATTATCCTGGCGATTATGTCTATGGGAACGATCATCAACACAATGATGATACCAGTAACAATAACAATCAAATGGAAATAACATGGCAAGACTACAAGATTAAATTTACAGAAGATTATAAGCGATGGCATTTGAAAAATTCATTTGGACCTACCAAAGTGATACAACTCTCAATGCCCACATTTCAAACCATGTGTCTGGAAAATACATCCACTAAAGAATCAAGCTATCTCGTCAGCAACTTTGGCATGACGAGAGGCAAGTTCTATTTCAGAGTAACATTCAACACGACTCGTTTTGGAAGTGGTGTAGGATTCATCAAAGAAAGTGAGGTGAAAAAAATCAAATCCCAACAATTCGACTACATCTTGTACTTGAGAGATGGATCATGCATGATACATCCAGGCGAGAAAATCATTGACCGACTCAAAGAGGTCGACGGGAAATTACTTCGAGTTTACTCTGTATTAGATCCAGAGGATATTCTTGGAATGATACTTGATCTTGACAATGGTGAAGTTATTTATCTCATTAACGGAAAGGAAGTACTTCATATAACTAATGTGACACAAACGTATCCAGATGAACCATTCTATTTGTTCATGTATTTCCCTATAGGACAGAAATACACCGTATTGCCATGCATTAAGAGTATCGATGAGATTGGAGAGAAGGGACAAGCAAACATACTTGAAAATGTCAAATCCTCATCCAAGAAACAACGTGTCACTATGGGAATTTAGGGAATGCTCATAGGACTGGTACACCTATTTGGCATGGTCAAATTTTTCACAACCCATTTAGAAAATTCCCAAAAAATCAAAATTCCATTTTCAGAAACCAACAAATCGAGAGGTGTGTAAAAGAAAAACATTATTGGACACTATCACATCGAAATCACACTCAACAACAAAAACTCACAAACCACACCACTCAACATTACCACGATCTGATTTAAATGTCCACTCGTCAAACCCCAAATCAACCTGCAGCATCCTCTGTCGATTTAACAGAACCCAGAAGTCCACAATCCAGACAACTCGCTCAAATCAACTATGAAGACTCTCCACATTTCGTTCGAGAAAATCCTGTCGGATGTCTCATTCCAGAAAATCCAGAAATTTACAGTTCCGAAGGTCTTACTACCGTCAAAATTTTCAATCGAGAAAAAGGAAGTGTGACTGAAGAGGAGAAGCAACGAGTGGAGAAGGATTTGCAACACAAGTAAATAGGTAATTCCATTCGAATATGTTGTTTCAAAGAAATTGTGAATTTCAAATTGTGCGTGAGAGATCGTATCCTGAATAAATCTTATTGATAATTTTAAACAATTGTGTTTGAAAATAATGTTGCATTAACATCCGCCAGAGTCTCATACATCCTCAGAAACGAATCTTAATGGTAGTAATTACTTTGACCAAAAGTATCGCATCAAATTCCATCAAACTTTTACAAAAAGAAAAATTGAGCGCTAGTTGTATTGTGTATACTCCCACACACCTCTCTGGATCATTCCGATTTTCAAAGTCATCTATATTATCACGATACAAACGTGTTTGAATTCAAACTAGTGTTATTTCATAGTATATTTCATCAAACGAATGATTTCTTCTCAAAACCACTCAACGACTGTATCGGAATCATTGATTCCATCATCGACCAATTCCGATGATCATACAACAACAGAAGCATCCAATAGTAGTAGTACCACCACTACTGAAAACAACAACCACAATAATACAACCTCCATTGATGGAACCTCCTATGACAACAACATTAGCCTTGATGAATTTTCTCATTTACCCAAATCACTTCAGAATCGACTCGGAGCTCTCAAACTCTTGAAAGAGAAAGGCAATGAATTCTACCGTAAAGAGATGTTCCAAGAAGCAGTCGATGAATATGATAAGATTGATCGTTTTATGGGAGTTTTATTCAAGAAGAGTGAGAGCACACCCGACGAGTTGAAGATGGCTCTCTCCTATCAAACAGCTGCTCAATTGAATATGGCTCAAAGTTTAATGAAGATGGGCAAGTATTCTAAGGCTTTGGATCATTTGGAAAAGGCTGAAGAATATAATAAGGAATTGAAAGATCATGCCTCTGAAAAGAAAATCATGTTCCGACGAGCCAAGTGTTATTTGGATGGTATTGAGGAAACAAAGGGTAAGGAATTAATGCAAGAAGTGAAAGAAAAGTATGCTTCCGAAGATAGTGCCCTTGTGAAATTAGTAGATGCTGAATTGAAAAAGTACAAGCAACAATCCAAGAAGGAAATGCAAACGACGAAATTGAAAGGAGTGTTTGGAAAGACTGAATTGTATCATGATATGCCAGAACCTGTCATTTCCACGAATGATGGTGAAGATTTGAAAAAGAAGAACGAAGAGGTGCTGTCTTCATCACAGGAGAATGAATCTTCTTCTTCGTTATCAACAACGAGTAGCGCAATGATGAACCTATTTGGAGATAAGGAAACGTTATGGAAGAGTGCCATCATTGCATCTTTTATTCTCATTCTCACAACCATATTGGTCATGTATGCCTTACACTAAGAGATTACTAAGCTAACCATCATTACGTCTGTTTTCTAATGATTTCTAACTACTATTTTTCACGTTTTGGAAAATTATTTCAATTTCTTGATGGAACAGTCGAGTGGATGAACTCTATCCATTTAATTCACCATTTGTAAATTGTAGAAAATATTCACGTTATTCATGTAAAACTCGCATGAACTCTCTCATTTTTATTATTAATCCTGTGAGTTCCTTAATGAACTCAACCACTCACTCTTTGACATGTGACTTTAAAAAAAACCGCTCATAAAATTTGAAGGACAAAAAAAAATGAATAAGAGTTTAAATATTCTCTCGTCGCATCATGTGCAATCCATTCTCGAGCAGGCACTTTTAAAACATCCAATGATTTCATCGAATCATGAGGATGTGAAAGCTCAAAAAGTGTCTTCCGAAAATGATATTGTAAAATTTTATGAATTTAATTTTTCTTTTTTTGCAGAATCGGAAGGAGTGATTAATTCGGTCTATTTCATTTGGATGAGAGAAGTGTTAGAGTCTTTCAATTTTTCAGCAGACTTGTTCATTCCAGTTTCAAATTCGACGTCGTTGGTGAAATTTAACAATAATTTCACACGACCCAATACGAATGATACTCAAGAAAATTCTCACGTTTTAGAATTTGTTTTAAAAGTGAATACTTTGGGAGATGCTTGGAAACGAGCAAAAACTGTGAATGAAATTACGTTATTACAATTTCTATATAAGGAAAAACATAATTTTGAATATATTCGAGTTCCGCGTTTATGGGATTTTGATCTCGACGGAACACTATGTGGCTACGAATATCTTTTAATGGAAAAATTACAAGGAATTTCAATGAGTGAACACAGTCAAGTCATTGATGTTGATGAACGAAAATTTTGGATTGAACAAATTGCTCATTATTTAATGGAAATGAAAGAACGAGTGGCTTCCAAGTTGTGTGTGGAAAGAATTGGTTGGGATACCACTCATGAAGAAAATCGAACAAGTTTTGAATTGAAATTTGTGGAAAATGAGAACCAAACTGTGAAATGGTTTGGTGGAAGTTTTTTGAACATGATGAATGTGAGAGTAGAACACAATGAAAAATACATGATTGGTGTGACTCTTTGTCCGTATGTGGATAGTAAGAAAGGACCATTTGCAAATTATGTCGATTATTTAAAATCTCTTATTGAATTTAGAATTCCAATTTTTCAACGAATAGAAAATGGAAGATTTAAAAAATACATTCCATTCATGAAGAAGTATATTGAGAAATATTTGAATGAAGATTTTCGAGAGAGGGTAGAAACGGAAAATCTTTCAACTTTTATCAGTCATGGCGATCTCTCCATGAGTAATGTCATGATTTGTCCCAAGAGCAAGAAAATTACTGGAATTATTGATTATGAATGGGCTCGTCTCTCTGTGATTGAGGAAGATTATCGAACCATTCTCCAAGATTGGTGTATTGGTGTGACTGATTTGGAACACCGTTTCACTTCTCTTCTTAAACCCTACTTGTCGAACATGTATGAAGAAATTTTGCAACATTTTCACTTTATTGACTTGCTAAGTAATATTGAAAACTTTAGACAGTTCTGTTTAAACGATGAGAACGAAGCAGAACACTTTGTACAGACTGTCACGAAAGAATTGGATGAAATGTGCTTGAAAATACTGTGAGACAATCAATACTTGTGAATGCAGATTTTGCATCCAGTAATAACTCAATAGCGTTACAAAGAGTCTAATTTTTCTCACTTGACAAACACGTCAATACGCACTATCGATACTCTTTCACTTGAAGTGGTTTAAGAGCTCCTGGTGATTTTGTTGGAGAAGTAGCTTTACCCAGCTGAGTAATTGGAGAAATTGTATCACTCAATTCGTCAGAGCTTATTCTCTTAATTGGAGCTGATTTAATTCTGGGGCGTTCTCTAGGAGTTGGCTGGGATTTGCTTTTGGAATGTGAGGTTTGAGGAATGGGTGGAATTTTTCTTGGAGATTCAAGTTTCATATTAGATTGCTGAGATGGGAAAGGATACATTACGTCATGATCCAATTTTGAAAGCTCTTGCTCCATTTGCAGTATTTTCATTTCCTCTTCCATCTTCATTTCATCTCTCTCCCTTTCCATTTGATAGTGACTTTTTTTAGGAATTTCAATCACTGGAAATAAGTCAGAATCGAGAGGGTCTTGCTCAATGGGCTTGGTTGACGGAGGTAGTTGAGACGGTATCTGTGAATGAGGTTTTTTCTTCTTCTTCTTGTCCTTCTTGGGAGAACTGTCAGAAACTAATTGAGGTGGTGGTAACTCAGTGCTAGCTTCTTTTCGAAGCTCTTCATCGAGTTTTCGACGAACTTTACGGAGACGTTCCTTTTTCTTCTTTTCCAATGGCTTTTGCTCTTGAGGTTTTTCATCGATAGTATTCAATGGAGATGTGTTGACAACAACGTCATTGGCATCATACTCTGTTCTGAGAGAGTTAAATCCATCAAACTCTTTTCCAGGTGTAAGTTCGGAGTGGTCATAATTATTGGTAAGGGAAGAAAAACTTTCATCAAAGTAATTGGTAATTTCTCCTTCGTCTTCAAAGTCTGAGGAGCTGTCTGAGCTCTCTACCTTTCGCGCATCAAAGCTTGGAATTTCGTCAGGATTCTCTCCCTTGAACATTTCCCAAGCAGAGGAATTGAAAGAACGAGATTGCCACATGGAGTTTTTCCTCAAGAATTGACTAATATCCTTCTTACTATTGTAGCCCTTTTTAGCCTCAACAACACCTAGTGGCTGTTTGTCACCCTTCATGTCTTGAGAAATTTTGCTTGACATGTCCACATGCGGAGCGAAGAAAGAGTCATCTTCGTTATTGAACTCTAGGAATGGAGAGAACGATCCAGACGAAGGTGTCGTGTCCTCTACTGTTGCACCTCCACTACGAGAAGAGAACGATGAACATGGTTCGGTAGGAGTGGCCACTGATTCGTCATCACTCGTAGTCTCTATTTGCGTAATCCAAGGATCATTCAACAGATCATCTACTGTGGCTCTCTTATTGGGATCTCTTATGAAACATCGAGCAAGGAATTTCTTACATCCCTCAGAAACAAAATCAGGAAATGAAGGCATTTCTGTTGATGCAGCAATGTGAAACATGACCGCAGCAGCAGTTGTAAACTCTGAAAATGGAGGTCTACCTGTATACATTTCAACAATGGTACATCCAATACTCCAAACATCTGCCGGACGCCCATGCCCTGTTTGCATGATCACTTCAGGTGCCATGAAATGTGGTGTTCCAGTTAATGATTTAAATTCAGTGGAGAGGGTCATAATGTCCTGTATTTTACGTGATGCTCCACTATTGACAGGTGTTCCAACCAGCATTGGTGAATTATGTATGAAATTTAAGTCCACGATCACTATAATACTTACAAGTCAGCCAATTTGATTTTACCCTCAACGCTCACCAAAATGTTCGCTCCCTTAATATCTCTGTGAATAATTCTATTATCATGCAAATATTTGAGACCCTTGAGCATTTGAATGGTATACTGACGCGTCACATCTTCGGATAATCTTCCATATCTTCTCAATAATGATGACACAGAACCTCCCGGTACAAACTCGAGAAAAATGTTTAAGGTAGTTCCATTTACCTCTGCTCCATAGTACTGAACAATATTTTCATGTCTTAGCCCTTTCATGAGATTGATTTCTCTCTGTAAATTTTCCAATTTAGTTTCTAATACATCCTCTGGAACATTCTCAAAAGTGCACTCCTTAATAGCAAAGAACTTGCCATCGTCCACGTTATACCCGAGGAACACTTTACCATTGGCTCCACTACCAATGAAGTCACCCTTCTTATAATTCTTAATAATTTGTGGCTTTTGTTGTTTGGGCTTCTTTTTGGATTTCTTTTCAGACGTAACCTCAGAGTTTGGAGTTTTTGCGTTACTTTCCGACGATGTTGGTGCCGAGTAGGCTCCAGATGTTTTTGGAAGTTTGGGACTGTTTGGTGAGTGACTTGGTTTTGAAGCATCCTCTGACTTCATTGGAGGCAATTGCTTCGAAGGATGGGTCGACGCTTGCTTGATTTGTTTGCCTGACATTCCATTCCCACTGTTGACGTGATTAGAAGAAGAAGATGGCTGTTGTGCATTTCCATTCTTTGGTCCACTTTCACTCAATGGAAGATCGTTAACCATGATAGTCGTTGGAGTTCGTGCCCGTAACTGCGTTGGTTGTTGAATTGGCTGTGGAGGAGGTGGCTGTGGATTGGAATTACTCGCCTTCTTGTTCTTAAAATACAGGTGGTGTGAAGGTGAGGGTTGTGAGCTGAAAGTATGAATCGACATGTTGCTCGAGGTGTTGCTTTGAGCAGTCGAGGATGCATTATTTACATTTTGTTGAGGCTGTTGTTGGTAGGAGTTGGAAGGCACAAAGAACGTACCACTTCCCAAAGTGCTGCTGGGAGTATGATTTATGGGAGATGTTGCTCGGTTTGCTAAGGCAGGTGTGACTTGTTGTGACCTTGCCACAGGAGAGGTTGAAAGTTCTGTATTGGCTCCCACAAATGTGTTAGGTTGCAAAATTTCACTCTTGTTCAGAGTCGATGGTCTCATCTTTGAGTACGAAGTTGGATGATGTTGTTGTGGCTGTGGTTGAATTTGAGATTTTTGTATGTATTGTGTTTGTTGTTGTTTTGAATTGGGTGAAGGGCTCTGTGGAGAAATCATGGCGAGGTTATATTGTTTGAGAGGCGACGAAGAACTTGTGGGAGTATCTCTCGAAAAGGACTGATTCACATTGTCATGAATGTGTGTTCAGTGCAGTGTGACATGCATACCGAAGAAGCCACAAGCAGTTGTTGAGATTAGTTTGAAACCATTTCATGAATAATTCAATGACAATGTAATGCATAACTACTCACCTCAATAGTGTCAATGCTTTCCACGATATCATCGCTATCATCCGTTAATGGTGAAAGTTGTCTTGTGCTGTTCACCGATGACTCATCTGGTGTTAAATATCCACCATGTGGGCTCAAATTATCCAAGTACTCGATATCTTCCTCAATTTCAGTTCCTCCAGTAAAACTCGTATCCACCGACGACCTCAAATCACTTAGTCCGCTCCGAGGTCTCATATATCCAGGAACCGTTAAAACTTGCAAATTTCTACTACTATTATTACTTCCGTTCTGTTGATGATGATAAGGATGATTACCTTTACCAACCACTCCACTCTCCAAATAATATCCACTCGGATGATAATTCAATCCAGCTGAAGAAGTAGAAGGCGGAGAAGTGGTCGTTATAGCGTATGTAGTACCACTCGTATTTGCACTGGATAATGTACTCGACGACGATCCTAACGCGCTATAAGGCTGTTGCTGTTGTTGTTGCAAAGTATTTTTTAATAAGGCTTGTTGAGGGTGTGGTGAGGTAAAGCCATTGTTGGGACTCGTGGCTCGGATCATGTTGTTATTGTTGAAAGGAGTGTTGTTGGTAGGGTTATTATGGTAATTGGAATAATTGGAATAGTTGAGAGGTTGAGGAAGAGCAGCGGGTTGAGAGGCATATCGTGAACTTGAAGAGGGTGTTTGTTGTTGCAAATTACTACTCGAATGGGAATGTCCAAGAACATTCTTGGTGTTGCTACTAGTGTTATTATGATGATCAAAAAGAGAGTTGAGAGTTGTGCTAGGTGGAGGTTGAGTTCTTGTCGATGATGGAGTGGTCGTACAAGAGCTAATAATCATAATATTGCTATTCGTGGCACCTCCTCGAACAGCAGCATTGGGTGTTGATGAAATGGTATTGGAAAAATAATTGTTGTTGTTATGATTCGTTTGAATGGGAGTGAGACGATTACGGAAGAGAGTGGAACGGGATGCGAATACCGTGTTGGAATTTTGAGAGGATGCGGCGTTGGTGGTTGCCGAGGTTGCTGAAGAGGAAATGTAGTTCATTGTCAATTACTAAAACTTGAAGAGGATCAATGTCTTCTCCGATACTGCAAAAGTATTGAAGAAGTATTGCTGTGATCGTGTGGTGTAATAGAGATTCAATGGATTGGGAATGATGTTTCAGAGATTGTTTTAGGCCAGCATTTATTTTTTTAAAATTGTACATGACATTTGGCGGGTGAGACCAAGAGTGACAAGAGCACAATTTGGTTGGACCTACAAATTCATTATCTCGCAATTCATGAAATTTCATCACAACAAGAGTTGAAAACACCAACAGGTATTTCTTTTTTACCTATCAATTAATACACCAATAAGTTTTTCCTTTAACCCATAAAAATAATTATAACACAGAAATGAATCAAAACCATCTCACACACAACCCAAATCGAAATTCAAAATTGGCATGATTTATTTAGTTCATCTTAATCTTTGAAGCCTTAATTCTGTTCATCTTTTGAGAAGAGCAGACACCAATAGCCTTACAGACAGTTTGTGGGTTGAAGACCTTGTTCTCAAAGAGTTGGACGAGTTCAGCTTCGTATTGGTTGACCAAAGCAATACATTGTGATTGATAAACGGATGGAACGAATTCAGTGCAAACCTTATCGAGAGTATTCTTGACGTTTTGTTGAGTATTGTTAGCAATCAACCAATTGTCAGCAACGCTAATGACATATTCACAAGCAAGACACATGGTACCATCAGCAGCCTTTGGAGCAAGAGCGAGTTGGAGGAGTTCAGCAGCATCGCACATCTTCAAGGTGGAGCAGACCTTTTGTGGGGTCAACTTTTCCAAGAGCAACTTCTTCAATTCATCAACAGCAAGAGGAACGAACTTCTTGCACAATGATTCCAATGAACCCAAACGAGCACATCCAGCATCAGCCAACTTGATGATTTCATTGACAGTAATATCAGAGACAATCAAATCTTCCAAATACTTGGTAATTTCGAGACAAGTTGGGCAGTATTTGCTATTCTTAGCTTCCAAGAACTTCTTGAATGGATTGAAAGTAACAACTTGTTGTTGCTTTGGACAGACATCAACAACAGTGCTGCAAATGGTTTGAGCATCTTCAGTTTGGAGGTCTTGAGCAATTTCAGCAGCCTTATCAACAATTTGTTGACAGTCTGGAACTTGGAAGAAAGAGCAGGCAAATTGCAACTGTTGCTTGACAGAGTTGACATCAACATTGTTAATCTTGGTCTTCAAGAAACCAACAGCAGCCTTACAAATTGGGCACAACTCGGCAACTTGTGGTTGTTCTTGAACAACAGCTGGAGCTTGAGCAGATGAGCAGAGGTGAACATCTTGGCAGATGGTCAAAGCAGGGTATTGCTTCTCAACTTGATGAATGAAAATTGGCAAGTATTGCTCAACAGCATAGGTACAGAGAGTAGAGTATTGTCCTGGAATGACAGAGCACACTTGTTCGAGCTTCTTTTCCAAGGTCATGATGGTGTCATTGCTTTCAACCCAATTTTCTGAAAAAGGTATGTTTCGATAACAAGCCATGAATCATTCAGAACCCAATGTACAAGTGAATTTGAATGTTGGATCAATCAGAACATCGACGTGGAACCATCATTTCGCAAATGATGATGATGAAATATCATAACCGTTGATGACGACCAATCATCATCACGAATTTCATAATAAATAATTCATCGAGCCCATTTAGAAATACAACACATTCAAAGATCGGTTATTATTATGTTTCTATTCCTATATCATCATTATATATCACCAACTTACCAACTTGAGTAACGAGCAATTGACACATGTTGCACATACCGCTGCTTTCAGCCTTTGGAGCAACAGCCAAAGCAGATCCGTTACAAATCTTGACTTGAGAGCAAACGGTTGCTGGTGGTTCCTTAGCAATGATTTGGTCAATGATATCTGGCAATTCCATCAAGACGAGTTGGTCGCAAATTTGTTCATACGGACCCAACTTGGAACAGATTTGCAACAATTCTTGTTCAATTTGTGGCTTGGTCTTATTCACAAAGCCTTCAGCAGTGGCAACGAGCCATTCACAAATTTCGCATCCAATGACTGACTTTTCAGCTTGAACGGTAACTGATGGTGCGGCTAATAAGCACAACACCATCACGGCGGCAATGATGTATTTGAGTTGCATGTTGTTGTTGATATTTTTTAAAAAAGCTGATGAAAAAAATTGCAATGATTTGAAGCCTCCAGTCAACTCCGATGTACGGAGATTTTTATGGTCTGGCAACAATTTGGACGATTCTGAGCAGCGAGAAACAAATTGTTGCATGACTCGTGGACCGTTGCTTATTCTCCTGTGTGAATGGTTGGTTGGGAGTGTAGCATCTCCTAATAATTGTTCTCATATCTCATTGACGCTGTTCATCCAATACTAAACACAAACCTTATCAAAGAAAAAGAGCCCGACATTGCGTGTCACACCTAACGTCGGGCTCTTTTTCAATCATTTGTCAGGCAATGTTGTTTCATTGAGGGAACACTCTAAAGTTTCGAAATTATTTTGTTGGAACCAACTCTGATAGCGTGTTCCCGCCTTCCACAAATACAACATTAACTCAAAAAAAAATATTCAATCTGGTTCACTTTCGAACCCTAATTTATTCAACGTTACAGCACAACCCACTTCGGAAGAAAACACAAAAGATGAAAAATGACCGATCTGTTCAAATGCCTCAATTAGTTCCAAAGCGAAAGGCCTTCTCGGAGTATTCTGTCTCCCAAGTGATGATCATGATCACACTCGCTGTTTTTTATATTTTGACATTTTGCCCTAATTTATGCATCATACTAGCTTTGAATGTAACCTCAAAAGATTATTCTGTAGATTGGAATTTAGTACCTGCGTCGCCTCCTGCAGCTGCAAATTCTCAAGACTCTAGTTTTGGCTCATGTGTTTGTGATTTGACCAAAAATCAATGTGATCCTAACTGTTGCTGTGATCCTGATTGTGCCCAATCTACAGTCGAGAAGACCTTCTCCAAATGTTTGAGTCCAGTCTCAAAAAAGGACATGAATTATATGTGTGTCCAGAAGAGCTTGGTGACATTTTCTAATTTAGACACTCTAGGAATTAGTACAAAAGAAGTGACCCAAGATCCAAGTACTCCATTATTTTGTGTTTATTTTGAAGGAAGTAAGTTTTTTCTCCTTGTGTATGAATTCGTCTGGCTTAAATACGGCCTTAATGCAACGAATGACCTTTTATTAATTTCGTGTTTCAGAATCGGTGGATGGTCAATACTACTCAGTGGTTGGAGATTTGGATGCAACGACCATTAAAAAAACAGTTGACAAGGAGGATGCTTCAACAGTGTACAAACGAATGATATCAAAAAAGATTGTTTATGAAACAGTTCCCACAATTGGAAATCAAAAAACTGATACGTATTTATATGGAGACAAAATTCCAACAACCACAAGCCCCATTTCATCCACTCTGACATTGACCTATCTTACAGTGCCTAGGAGCCACAGCTCTGAGCTATGTGACACGTCGTCATTTGTTAAATTTGCTCAAAGCGATGAATTCACTCATTCTTGTTATTGGATACCAACATCAGTAGACACTCTTCAATCACGATGTTCAAACCAGTTCAGTTACGACAAATTGATCAGTACTGTCGTTGGAACAGTGGCAAACCCAAACAGTAATAATTTTAAGGCAGTTTCTGTCGCTCAACTCATTTCAGTAAGCAGCACAGGTGTGGAAACCGTACTAAGCAACACCAATATAGCAACCACTTACACTGTAGCTACCCAAACTTGTACCAATGCAGTCATTGGAATGGGATATTATTTTTCAACGACCGACACTGGTACAATATCGAGCGTCCAATTGATTGTGAAAGTTGCAACGCTTGTCAATCCTTCATCCGTTACTCTAACCAATAATGTTCAATTTATTAATGGAGTAAGTAGAAAATTGTGAGTTAGGGTAACATTAACATTTTTGTGCCCAACTTTGAAATTTCATGGTAATTGTGTGTTAAATTCACAAAAATAGACCATTAACGACTATTTGATTGGCACCACTCGGCCTAAAAGCGGAAACCCAGGTTACATTCGGAAAAAGCCTCTCCTCGCAGGATACACTGTCACAAATAATCAAAAGAGCGCCATTTATCAACAAGTGGATGGTCTTACAGCACCAACAGGATATGGATGCTCATCAAAGACCTCCATTCTATTTGATGTGGACTCTGTGTACTCATGTAGCCTCTCCCTCAACATTTCAGAACTTCAAAGTTTATGCCTTAAAAATTCCATCTCACAATTGTCGTCTCCTGTGACACAAATTGGACGTTACGGAAATGCAGATTACACGAACACCAATGACTGGGTCGCAATATTGCAAGACTCCACACCTAGCTCTGTAAGTTATTTTTTGGAAATTCGAAGCAGTAACCTGAGATACATTTTCTTTGATTGGGGTGAACCCTTGGTGTGTGTTTTTAACGCATCTCATCAGACTTGGGACTCGTTGAAATCAACTTGTAATAACATTGCTGGAGGAGTCGAATATCAAGTTGTGATTGCTAAATCGGGCTCTGTTCAAAATGAACAATGGAAGGTACAAGGAGTCAAACGAGTCTATTATCCTCTCACATGGGCATTCACCGGGGATACCACTTCGAGTAATACGTTTTGGATTGAGACAAGAGTGAGATTTGTGCGAGTATCAGGCCAAGAGACGATTCAGAAAAACTATCCAGCTCCAAACTTTCTTCCCTTCCTTCCAGAAGATGTGTTTTATCCCTTCTCTCTGATTTACTCGTCAGACGCTCCAGGGTCAACCTTTACTGTGTCTAGCACGAATTGGTTTCTCGTATTGATTTCGAGCTTGTTGACATTCGTTTTGACTGTTATGTAATTGAACCAAGACTGGTATGACCGTGTTTCGTAGAGAATTGGATGTGGACTGAGCGAATTCGCTCTGCTTGCAATACTCTCTCACCTTAATCCAGTGAAATTTTCAGACAATACTCTAAAGCTCTGCTGGTTGGTAGGCCTCATACGTAAATCTTGATTGCGCAATCCGAACCCTCAACCTAAAAGGAAAAGCTGTGCGTAGCCGCCGAGTTATGGCCGAAGTAAAAAACGTTTGCTTGCTTCAAGAAAAAATATTGTTGTGTGTACACAGTGCTGACCAGTTTCTTTCCTGAGAAGAAGACGCACACTTCAAAGAATTTCATCATCTAACAACAATTCCGCTCTTTCTCTCGGATTATTAAACGATTGGTATCATTGCCCTTTTGTCATCTTTTTGTAGAACCAAGATGAATCAACTCCTTCATCAAGTTCATAACGGTATCAAAGAAGCCGGATTCTTCCTTGATAACTACATTGCAGTGAATAAGAATATCTCAACAATCTATCCGGAAGACAAGCTTGCTGAGATGAACGTTTTTGATGCCGGACTAGTGAAATTATGGAAATTTATGCTTGAGAATTATTCATTGAATATGGTCACGATTGTTCTTCCATTTACAGTTTTGTTTTTGAATTATTTCTTTGTTTGTGGATTTATGTTTTTAATTGAACAAGCTGATTTCTCATTCTTGAGGAAGTATAAGATTCAAGCTGTAAGTGTTTACAACTCCGATTTGTCTCCAATAACCGTCTCATCATTGGACTTGCGCCTCTCCGATCTTCCGATCCCCATGACATTTGTTTAACATTATACATTTCCCGAATATGGAATATTGAAATTTTCATCGTTTCTTTCAATTGAATCTGTATTGATGCACTTGGTTATTACACTTATTATCATTTCCGCACAATACTTCCCTCTTGCAATATATTACAGAAAAAGTACAATTCGGCTTCCAAAGTCTTTTGGGCTTCTTTGTATCTCCTCTATGTGTACTTTGTCATTATTTTGCCAATGTATACTGCCGCCTTCTATGTATTGAGCCAAGTGGATTACTTTAGCTTGGATCTGTTGGACATTCCAAATTGGAAGACTCTTGCATGGCAAACACTTGCCTTCTTGTTCTTTGAAGATTTAGGACACTATGTGTTGCATCGTTGGATGCATACACCATGGGCCTATAAGACCATTCACTACAAACATCATGAATTTGATGCCCCAAGCTCATTGGCCACTTCCTATGCTCATCCAGTCGAGGTTGTAATCCAAGGAATTGCTACCTTCTTGGGACCAGTCATTGTGAGACCACACATCTTGACTCTTTTCATTTGGGTCAATATTAGACAATTAGCTGCATGTGAAACCCATTCAGGATATGATTTCCCATTCTCCCCAAATAATATTTTACCATTCTGTGGAGGTGCAGATTTGCACGATTTCCATCATCGTACTTATAACGGTGCTTATTCTTCCAATTTCATATGGTGGGACGTGTTGCTTGGAACTGATAATGGATATTTCGCTTGGAAGAAGAAGCAACAAGCAAAGAGAGCAAGAGGAGAAGCTATCAATGTTGACGATTCAGAAGATAATCAACAAACTAAAAAGACTAAATAAGACCATTAAGGTAAAATTCCAATGACTACAATTAAATTTGTATTTTTGTATTGAGTATTTAGAGTAACAATACGTTGCTTAGCAGGTTCGATCGATGCCTGCAGAGTTTTGTTGTACTTTCCAAAAATCAACTGACGATTGACAGTTTTTTCTTTTTGAAAAAAATGTTTCGACCCAAGTCACTCTACCCCAACAAAATTATTTACTTGGACAAACGTAAAGTAACGATCCCCAAATGGTGTGGAGAACATTTCGGAGAAAAAGACGAAGAGGATCAACAGAAAGGATTTGATCCCAAATCATTACTTTCTAGAATTCAATTATTGATTCCGAATCGTGAATTAGATTTAGAATTTTTCACTTGGCAAGGAGAAGAGGTAAGAAGATTTTGTTGTTTGAAGGATGGTGTTTTACCAACTTAACATGAAAATATATTTGCAATGAATATTTTCATTGATGATCAAATTCAATGACACAAATCCGACTCCGGGTTGAAATGTTCGTTATTCAATAATTTCATCAAAGGCTGTTCAATACGAAAAAGAACAAGCGAGACTGAGAAAACTATATGAACCCTGTGTACGTTTATTACAAGCCATTAAAAACTTGCCAGAAATTCCCTCACAAGAAATGCAAGACGAACAAGGCACCCATGTCATGAATGTCTTGTCTACCAATCATTTGATACCAAATCAGGAAACCAATAGTGGTGATATTCAGCCAACTCTTGTGAAGAATGCCATCTCATCAGAAACGGCAATGGATCAATTCTTGGAATTTATGATCAACGATTGGAAGACTTGTACATTATCAGACTTGATTTACTTGTTGACCATTCTCACCAAAAATAGTAATTTGTTGAAACCATTCGTGTTGAGAAGACATGTTGTGAAAATTTGCAATTTCATCATGCATGAAAAGAAGAATGAAATTGTTTGCATTTTTGCTCTCAAGAATTTCCTTTATGAATACTTGTCCATTTCCTGGAATGTTATTGCTTGTTTATTATTTGATGAATTGAGAAAGAGAAAAGAAGTTCTTCCTGTAAAGAATGAAAAACAGAAAACCCAAAGACCCAAAGCAAAATACACATTCGAAAAGAGATCTGTGGAATATTTATCAATCTTTGCAAGAATGAACCATGACGAGAAAATGACCCAAGAATTGGTTAATATTTATGAATATGTTCTCAGCCATTGTCGTAATTCATACATTGTTTCACTAATCATCTCAGATCTCAAAGAATTGAAGATTAATGACAAGAAAATTTTTAAAGCTGTTTCCATTCAATACGCACATGATTCCCCCATTGAAGAGTTGTGTGGATCTTTTTATGAATACTGTAAAGCCACTGACACATTATCACTTGTGAAAAACGACGCCTTGCTCAAAAAGAAAGCATCAAAGGAAGAATCCAAGATGAAACACAAATTGAAAAATGAAAAAAGATTACGAGTATTGAACATGATGAGAACAGGACACTCCATGACGATGAGTCAGCAACCAAGTACTGAAATGAAGGTCAATCCAGAGGTTTACTCTCCAGAAGCTCTGAAATTACATTTAGCTGACATTCTTGCAGGTCTCACTCCCTTTGACAGAGCCGCTTTTGTTAAAAAGTATTATGGCAATGAAAAAAATTTAGCAATTGCAGAAGAGAAGGAATTTCAATATTTGGCTAAATTATTAATACGAGTAAGTATCTATTTGAGTGAGCCATGTTTAACGTAATCCTGAAATTTTTTCTAGTTCCGTAATTATGGTACTCGTGCAATGGCCAAAATGCAAGGAAGAAGTGTGATGGACAATATTGACATCAATGACTTGAAAGAGTTTTCAAGCGAATCCTTTGAACGATGTAAACGTTTTGAACATTTTGATTATTTACCTCAAGACGTGAATCCTCTCATTGAACATGTGTACTCAGAAAAGGCATCTTATAGCTATGATGCTCTCTGGTCACTCTCTTTATGTGTCGAAAACGATGGAATGATTATTGAAAAATTTTCACATAACATTTGGAGTGAAAAACCAATGTATACTTATCTGATTGATTATGGAATTATTAAGAGATTGGAAGAGTTAATGTTCATCTATCTCACTGGAAACGACACGGGAGACGATCGATGTGAACGACTTCAATTTGTATGTGAGAGTATTCGATTGGTGACCACACTTTTCGAATCCATGAGAACACACGGAGAATTATTTAGAATTGACTACATTCTGAAAGAGACTAAAATTCTAGAATACCTCATTGCTGCCATTTATTATTGTAGAACTGATGGAATTATTATGGCCAATTTGAGAAAATGTTTTAAAGCACTCTGTGAATCTCATCCAAAAGTTGCCATGAGTCTCATCTTTGACAAGTACATGTTAGCTGCTCTCATTGAAATGCTACGTTATGGAAAGACGATGAGTGAAAAGAGAGTTCCAAAAGTTGAAAATTTTATCGATTTCCCACTCATTATGGAGTTTATTTTCGAAACTTTGTCTGAGGTCTGTTTACCAACCGTTGTGAAGGAAAGTACAGGACTATTACCAAAGAAACAACAACAAATTTTAACAGCAGTGACAGATTCTGGTTTGCTTGTTGAAATTTTAGAATTCATGACAGCAAAGAAACATTTATTTGATGCCTTTGTCGTCTATGCCTTGAAAGAACCTGAAAAAGACGATACCTACGATTGGATTGCACATCTCATTTCATTACTGTCCTATTTCTCAAGACATCCTCCCATGAGAGAAGAATTCTATTCCAATGATTTTAAGATTTTTAAGTTTTTATTATTCAATCTTATTTTCCCATTGAGTGAAGTGATCATGAAAAAGCTCACCATGAAAAATAGTGTCTATTACATTTCTGCTCCAACACTTCTCAATTCATTCAGTATTATCAATCATTTACTTTGGGATGAAAAAACTCGAGAGTACATTTCTCGTATTGAGAATAGAACTTGTAGTAATTCTGGAAAAACACTTGAAGATCTTTGTTTCACATGGTATCAAGTCATTTCCAAAAAGTATTACGAAACAAAGCAATTAACAACTAATGAGGCCATGTATTGGGCTCGCTCATGGTTCTGTCTCGCAGGCATGATGCTCTCTTCCGAATTGAAACGAAATCTCATTGTGGAAAAGCAATTACTTTCTAAAGTGATGCAAGTGCTTCAAAACAAACCACACCATTTAGTGAGAGACATTAAATCTGTCATTTGTAAATTCCTCATGATGGCCTTACGAGAGGAATATGCTCAAGACAAGATTGATATTGATCTCGTATTGAAATTTATATCACGAGAGCTGAAAAGTTGGAAACAACCTTCCATCATGTTGAATCAAAATTTAATTTCACAAAATGTCATTCTTTCACTTTTCTATGACATGATGGGAGTAGAAGTATTCAAATCACAAGCGATTGAACTCATTCAAACCAAATATACCTCTTTGAAAACTCATTTGAAACTTGTGAATCAAACCGAAGATTTACCAAAATGCAATTTTTGTGGACGTGAAAGTAATGACAAGGGTCAAAGTTTGAAACGTTGTGCTGGATGTAATCTTGTCAAGTATTGTAGTGTCGAATGTCAGAGAAAAGATTGGCCTTCACATAAACCCATCTGTAAGGCACATCAAGAACGAATGAAATCTCAACAAGAAGAAGAAGAAGAAGATGTGAAAACAAACAATTCCTCCAAACAATATTCTGCAGAAACTCTAAAAACGAAAGGAAATGATGCATTTAAACAACAAAATTTTACCAAAGCCATTTCACTCTATGAGAGAGCATGTGAACAAGAAGATTCCAATCCTATTCGACACATTCTGTATTCGAATTTAGCTCAATGTTATTTTTGTTTACAACGTTATTCAAAGAGTATTGAATATTGTGATTTGGCATTGAAATTGGATGCCAATTATACAAAGGTGTTTTATCGAAAGGCATCATGTTTGATGGAATTGAATCAGCGAACACAAGCCATGAAAGTTGTGAATGAAGGATTGAAGGTAGAACCTACGAATGAACAATTATTGAGCTTGAAAAAGAAATTAATGGTGAAATAAATTGAGATATTGGAATACAACTAGTTTGTTACAACGAATTTTTACCATGCACTTCCAAGAACTTGTTGTTCTTTCCACGGGTGGCCAACTCCTTCAGTAAAAATGACCAAGATTCGAGACAAGATTCTTTACGAGCGCACTTTTATTTTTTACTCGATTTATAACACCGACCATTTTTCAAATTTTGTTTCAGAGTTGAACTGTTCTACAATTAAGCATGCTGAAACCAAGATTTTCATTTGGTAGGAGATTCTTTCCCTATAGTGTCAGATTCTTTTGTTTGGTATTGTGAGACCTAATATTCAATTAATAACAGCCGTTAAAAAAAGGTGTCTCTGACTTTAGCTGAATTAAACATAAAGCCCGTGTAAAGTGCAAACAAGCAACATGAAATTCTAGAACAACAGACCATCTTACACTCAAGGATGTTCTATTTGTTGTGCACTTTTGACGGGCTTGGTGTTATTTTCAAACTCTTCTCAATCACATTGTACTCCACAAATTGAAAATTTTTTTTAACACCCTTTTCTTCGAAGAGATGGTGTTGACAATGACAAAGAGGGGTAAGGGCCCCTTCAATACTATACCACCCTGGACGTGACAAAGTTTTACGACGTTACCACCACGGCTCATGTAATGCCAATTCAACTTATTGACGACCCAAAAATTAAGTAGTGTTTCCCTCACGTGTCAGCAACAAAATATTGCATTGGCAAGTTTTGAGGGGTTGAAATCATTATAAAATCGTACTATGATCGTAGTTTTATTAAAAATCCCCAGCGAAATTCTTGCAGCTTTTGTTCACGAAAAAATACGCTTGAGTTGGTTCTTTCGAGAAATATTTGAGTGAGTGCGAGTTGTTTTGAACTTTATGTGAAAGTTGAGTATTGAGAACCTTTCGGAACTGACAAATGTCAATGTTCATTGATCCAAAAACAATGCTCCTTGATCATGTACTGGGATGTC